GCTTTCAATTTGGCGAAGAGAACTCTGAACTTACCGCACATCGATCTCGTTGGTGTAGCCATTGCTGGGCGTGGAGTCATCGTAGTCGGGCAGTGTGTACTGTGTACGCCGCATCATCATCAGCTTTGGCATAAAGTGCAGGAACATCTTCCGCACCATCGGCGACATATTGTGCGTCGAGGGAGATCTGTGCCGGATGGCAATTAGCTGGGCCAACGAGCAACGAGTCCCCCGCCCCCCCGGGGGGCTTGGGGAGCTTGGACAATAATTGACTCACCTGAAGTGTATATTGAGCACACAGACGGTTGTCCACACGGACAGGGAGACGAGTATCATGGTAAAGAGCAGATACTTGCCCAGCAGGGGCACAGCCAACGAGGTTGGCGGAATAATTTCGGCCAATAGCAAGAAGAACACGGTCAACGACACGAGTATTGAAATACATAACGTAACCTGCCAACGAAATTTCGTACACAATGTCTTCGTTTCGATATTGCCAGCCCCCGTGGGCCGCTGATCAGTCGAAGCTCTATGCTCGCATCAGCGGCCCCACAAACCCATCAAACAATCAAACGAACAATCAACCAACAACAACAAAGAGCACAGAACAGCAACGAAACATAAAAACAACAAATATCATAATTTGTTTAATTAACTAAAGCAATTGCATATCGATTACTAATAGAACACAATTTGCTCACTCAACAACTAAAAATGAAACAAAATAAAAAAAACAAACTCTTTTCCTATAAAATATAATCAAAAAATATGCGCAAGGACTGCTGTAAGCAAGCCAAGGACCCACGAAGAAGCACAGGGCGAGACACACGCTCCACGTGACGACTATGACCCTTAGCCACGACCCTACAATTACATCCATCAATCATTTCAAGTTTACACGAAAACAATCAACACCAAAACAAAACAAAACCAAACAAAACAAAAAAAAATCAAAGCAACAAAGCGCATTTCACTACGTTTACACGTGAACTTTCTGTTTACAGGTATGGGTGGGTATAAGTGTGTGTGTGTGTGTGTGTGTGTGTTTGGAGTACAGGACATAGATCAAGCTAAAGCAACGCGCATCTTGTAGAGCTTATCTCTGGCTGCGTAAAGTTTTCATGTATCCTATGAAAAATTGTTCCATCAATCACAATAAATTACATTGTAACTATCAACAGGGAAATAAAGACCGTAAAATGTTTTTCATTACGTTTCAAATCGGTATCTATTTTAGATTTTGACACATGTTATGTTGTCTGCATAGCATCAATATTTTTGCAGAGTTTTTTCAATACACAGACGGAATTGTTATGTTTCTGTTCATCTAACCATGTCATAGTTGGACACCTTGCTGTGTATTGCAGTCTCGATTGAGGTACATACATATGTGTTTGTTTTAGAAGTATTTCAGTTACCCTAAACAAATATTAGATGCCAAAGTCGTTAAACCTATGGACTATATTAACCCTTTCTTTATTTAACAGAGCTTTCCCTGAGTCCTCAAATGCTAAAGAAATAATCTGAATGGCCTCAGAATTTTCACAGCTCTGGCAGTGATATAAACCCATTATGTTAACTTATTTTGTACGATTAATATGATTGATTTTGTATCTGGTTCATGTACGAATATCACTATCCATGGCGAAGCAGTTACTAGTACAGTTACTGGTACTGGAGGCAAGCGAGCGATACGAATGAACGAGCAAACACTAAGGCAACGACAACAAGAATACGAGAACAACAACAAACTGCACGAGTCCTTTACGTGTTTGTTACGTGTCGCTATGTGAGTAGTGAGTAGTGTGAGTATTTGTATGAGTACGTGTGCTGTATGCAGGTGTCCTATATGTGTGTGTGAGTGAGTGTGACTGTGTGTGGGAGAGTGCGCTGCTTTATTCCAGATACGCGTAATGGGAGAATTTTGAGAGTGGCTTTTTGACATACTGAATACGATTCAATTCGATTCGTTTCGTTTCGATATGAATATCGTGTTGGAGCATTGGTATCAAATCGATGAAAATTTACGTTATGAGATTTCACTACTCAGGAGACAGCACAAATGATATTCAACGCAAAATGGGTGGCATATATATTCGATAAGTGATACACTATCTACATATATGGGGCGTCGGTTATATGTGTGCTGCTTGGGATGAATGCAGAGGGCCTCAGCGACGCTGCTGCGGTTTCAGAGTTTAATAAGTTAATGGATAGCATTAAGGACTATCATATAGAATTAAGGAACAACTATTAGAGTTAAGAATTTGAATATAAAGTAGGAAAAAGTTTAGTCATAGTTTAGGAAGAGCAGGAAGTGCAAGTTGAGCTCTACTCGGATACGATTTTGTTAGGTTTTTTTGTTTTTTGTTTTAGAATTCGTTTTCGAGTTTCTTTGGAAAGCCAATTTACAGTTTAAGTGTTTTTGAGTCCTGAGTGCAAGAGCTCAGCTTTAAGAGATAGCTTGAAGGACTTGGAAGGATTTATAGTGAGAGTTAAAGCTATTGAAAGTATTCCGATATTGTGCATATGAGTTAGATAGAGAGGCAGATAGGAGATAGCTTATCTAAAGTATTGAGGTTGAGGTTTCGTTTCTCAGAGTGTAGCAGATAAATAGTATTTTTTTGCTGGATGGAAATAATTGGATGAAATACGTAAGTGCTTAAAAATCAGTGTTAAATAGTGGATTTGTTTTGTTAGATCTCATAAAATAAATTTAAAAATAAAAAACTATTCTACTTCGAGTGCAAAAATTTCTAACTAACATTTTTACATTAGATAAATTCATGCCACATGCTGAGATATATTAAATTCAGACTCAGTTTAAACTGATTAAAGATTTTGACATTTCCTTCTCCGTTACCTTCTCGCCGGAATCGCTTGGCAAATAGAACACCAACACCGTGAGGAATGTCAGAGCCACACAGGGCACAATCAGATTGACAGTATAGAATAAAGTCTTACGCCGCATGGTCAACTTGAAGGTTATATCTGTGTCAGAAACGCCAATGAATGAATTTGAATGAATTATTCAGTCAAATAAAGCAGAACTCACCTGAAAAGGGCTCCAGTGTATCCGGATAGTATTCCTCATTTTTGGTAGCTGGCACCTCCAATATATCCCACTCCACAGACAAATAGAACTCGGTTAGATCAATGCCCACTTGAACTAGATTACTGCCGGGTATCTAATAAATAAATTGATGAAATATTTTAGAATTTCTGCACTCAGCGAGCGATGCTAACCTGATCTAGATGCTTGAGGTCCACTTGGGCTCCATTGTAGGTCCATGAACCAAATTTCATGAAGCAAATTTGTTCATCGTATGGGAAATATTCGACATTCATTTCGCAGGAAGACTTGTAAATGGCAGGCGGCTCCCAGAACACTTCACCAGTGTACTTTAGCGTGGCCTTGGTCATCAGAGTGACCTAAAAGTAAGCGAAAAGTGCGATTAGTGACAGGCATAGGAATGTTTTTTCGCACTCACCTCATAATTGCCATCCCAATTGTTGTAGAGCACAATGTCGGGCACCCAAATGTGCTCCGAGGGCACATAAAGCTGCTCTACACCTCCATACTCCTCGGGATCCCAACGTAACTTATAGTCGAACCAGCGCTAACAGAACATTAGAAACATTAGAAACTCTGCTTTGACTGCCTTTTAATGCTTACCTGTTTCACCCACAGATTGGTGGTCATCACCTGATTCTTGAGGTTCACCTCAATCAGCTGGGACAGCTTCAGACCTAGCCAAACCGTCAGGGTCTCCGTGTTGTTCACAACGGGACGTATCAAACGATTGTAGTTGCTCAGCAAGTCATCGTACAGGCGCTTGGTGTCCGGATTGGCCTCAAAACTCACGGGAGCTGTGACAACGGGGACAGAAGAAATGTGGAAGGGTCACGAATTAATTTCCCAAAACAAAGCAAAAATCTTTTCCCAAACTTTCTCGAAATTTCCCAAAACAAATTTGTGCGCAGACGCTGCTCTCGCGCTCTTTGGTTGCCTCTTTGGCTCTCAGTGGGCGCAGCCTTCTGACAGCTGCCTAAGACTCTCGGGATACAGCATCATGGTATCGGAATTTTCACAGATTTTTCTTAGACTGATACACATCGTTTCATGGCTTACCCGTTGAGCTGGCCAATGGCACCAATAGGCAAACACACAGCAAACTCCAGTGCCACATTCTCCGCTGTGTTTCTATCCACTTAAGTGTCGAATATTTGCTCACAAATTAATTGTGTCTATTTAATTTTGTAGCATCTTGTTAGCTCCTCGCAGTTCACACAACCTCACGCTCTGAGAGTTAAATCGCAACTGAGGTTTGGATTCTGACAGATGCGCTAGGGTGGAGGATGCTTGATAGCTGTCAAATGGCGCTCAGCGATTGCTGTACCAATTGTGGGTGCACTTTGTGCTTGGCGCCAATTTCCTGCAACAGATATTCGATTTGAGCAGATTAAATACATAAAAATTAACTACAAAAAAAAATGCAGTAGAAATACATTGGGCTTATAATTATAATAGTTATTATAATATTATTATAATACATATTATAATTATTATACATAGGTATTCATAATTTCTAATATTTTCTGTATATTTTCTGACGCATTTTGAGTATATTTGAGGTAGAATTTAATAGCCTGTTGAAGATGTTGATTGCGGATTGATTGTAGCCTAATTGCCGTCCTGCCTTTCTGCAGGGTTGCACTGGAACTTCACAACATATAAGGGATTTTCGCGAATTGCACATTAATATGTGGATTATATGCGTTTTATAATGAAAAAAAAATTTACATATGCCAGAAATAAACCTATCGATAACTAGATTTGATTTAAATTAAACCAAAGTTAATCAAAATCATTTTCAGGAATACCCAGACTGTAAGTTGCAACGTGGAAATAGATTAACAAGGCGAATTAATGCTTTCTTACTACCAAGTTCTTACATACATACAATTAAAGTGCATCTGCTTCGTACAGTCCGAAACGAGCGTCTTAGCCAAGTTCGCAACCACAGGACAGACCCAACCCCAACTGTCACTGTCAACGGGTGTCGTCAAGGCAACGGGCATTACTTTGACAACGAAAACCTGAAACGAAAATAGGGGAAGAAGTCCTGAGAGCTGGAATTGGCACAAACAATAAGTTTCAGGTGCAGTCAGTGGCGAATGCTCACAACAAACAGTAGCAAAAAAACGAAAGTAAACCAAAAGTTACCTGAAATCGAAAGTCTCTATGGGCTACAAGAGCAACTATCCGCAGATGGTGAGGGAAGCGGGCTTCAAGCTGCGCCTCTATCGCGATGGGCCCTTGGACTGGCGTTTAATGGGTAACTGAAAGGCTAATCACAATCACAATGGAATACAAAGCTGAATAATGTTTTTGCGTAAAGGTTCCTATGAGACGGAACGGATACTGAGGGAGCAAAACTTCGAGCTGGTTGACAAGGCACTGCAGCACTTGGCGGAGGCGCCACTGGGCACTGTGCTGGAGACACACATCCTGGACAGCGGCATAGCCAAGTACTTTGTGATGTCGCAGTATGCCATCCAGTATCTCGTCTGTTGTCGGACCTACCTGGATGAGTGTGCGACGGATCTGCGCGAGGCACATGAGATCTCCCAGCAGGAAATAGCCAATCTGCGCAAATCTCTGGCGGAGTCCAACAACGAGGTGATGCAGCTGCACAAGCGAATCACCGAAATCGAGGCCATACGCGAGGTGGTCTATCCCTGTCACCTGTGCACCAAGAACTTCATCAGCAACGACGCCCTCAACATTCACATTGGGCGCAAGCATCGCGTGGGCACGCCCCCCAGCCTCGGTGCAGCTCAGAGCAACGCCAATGCCAATGCCAAGGACAAGGACAACGACATGAACCTGATCAATACCATCAAAATGGAGCTGGAGATCAAGCAGCTGAAGGAGCGTCTCAATGCTGCCGAGCGGAACATCAAGGAGCGCAGCAGTGGTTCCAAGCGGCCGAGTCCACGCAAGGATCAGCGCAATGTGGGCATACAAAGCAATCTGACCGAGGCCAAAGAGAAGGACGAGCAGAACAGCGTGGCGCTGGAGAGTGAGGCCAGCGAGCGCAAGGAGCAGCTGCATGGCCTGGCGGAGCGTTTGAGCAACTTTGAGGTGTGGCAAACGCAGCTCAAGCAAAGCAACGAACAGTTCATTCTGGTAGGTTCTGAAATGGTCACCATTCTTACCTATTCCAAGTACATATCTCTCGTTATTACTCCCCTAGGATATCAATCAGAAGCTGGAAGGTCTTAGCCATGCCCTCGAGCAGTCAAAGAAGACCAGCAGCAGCAACAACACAGCGACGCCTCCTCTGGAGGGCCATATGGTCACGCCCTCACCTCGTCTGGAAGATTTGGAACGCATTCTCACCGATAAGGTGACGGAGATTGGCAAGATCAGTGCCAATAAGCTGGAGGAAGTGGTTACCCATCTGGAGACCGGCTACAATGATAAGCTGCAGGCCCTGGAACGTGAGCTCAAGCAGCTGAGAGTGCGCAAGGAGGCCCCCAAGCCGCAGCCGGTGGCTACTGCTACTCTCCACTCTACAGGCACTTCGAAGATACCCAAGCCTGTGAGCCGCAAGGAAGAAACGAGTGCGGAGCGCATCCGAAAGCAAGTGGAAAGCGAATTTCTTAAGAACAAAGCAGACGATGACACTTACCCCATTGAGGTGCAGGTGCCGGTGCCGCGTGAAAAGTCCCCGGCTCCGCCTCCAGTGGAAGTCCAAGTGCAAATCAATGAGCATCCAAGTGGCAGCAGCTCGAGCAGCCATCCAACGTACACGAAACCCGCCAACGAGCCGGCTGCCAGTAACCCAGAGGCGAGGGAAACCACAGACATCGATGAGAGCCTCAGCCAGGAGGATGCACAGGTAGTGGACGTGGATTCAGAGCAGACCCTTTCGGATGACGGCAGTGAAACGTCGACTTCCGATGCGGAGCCGTCGCGGCAGGTCCACAAGGCAGCATCCAGTAGGCCTCTAGCGAGAGTGAAGTGAGTTGAAGGTCCGTTTTCCCCATATTTCCTGCTACATTTTCCTTGCCTTCTCGCAGGAGTCCACTGAAACCGCTGACCCGCAAGGATGCCCGCAAGCTGGTCATCCGGAAGATGAGCTCCCATAGCTTCGACATGAAGTCCAAGACTATATCCAACACGACCATGAAGCGAATCAATGGCGAACTGACGGAACAGCGCAACAAACTGAAATTGGTAGGCTCGATTAGGACACTTAAAGCAATGGGAGTTAATGTATGTAAATGTTAAACCCTTCCAGCAATATCCGCAGTTCTATGCCACTCGCAATCGCATACGCAAGTTTGTGGAGAAGCTCTGCTCCGCACAGATGCCGCAACGCGCCAAGGAGCTGCTGAAGCACACAACGCCATTGCAGCCGATTGAAGCGCCCAAACGTAGATCAACCTTAATGCAGGATCATGATTCGGCAGACCACACCTCCCACGATGAGGATGACCGGTCGGAGATGAGCGAGCAGTCCGAATCACGTAGTTCCAGTCCACAGCGGAACGTCGATGACGATTTCAAAGCCCGTTTGGAGGAAATTCTGGTGAAGCCCGCAGCCATTGCTGCGCCCCGTATGGCAGGCAAGTCTTCTTTGAGTGCCAGGCCAGTGCCTCTGCCGCGAAAACGAGTAATGTTCAATACGATGGGGAATGGCAAAGGCTTAAACGATAGTGAAGACGATTTAAAGTAAGCTTAAATAAATTTCAACAAGAAAACGAGCGCCAAGCGGTGCAACTTTTATGAACAATCTGGCAACATCGCGAGCAGTGCTGAAAAACTTCATAGCTTTACAACTTTTATGAACGATCTGGCAACCTTACGAGCAGATTTTTCTTCTTCTTCCTATTTGTGGAAAATTTTTATTCTTCTTCCTATTTGTGGAAAATGTATCTTCTTCTTCTTTTTTGCCTACTTTTTTTGTTAGGGCTGCCAGATCGGTTCAAAGCGAATCGGTAATGAACCGGGTAGAAAAGCAGCCCGAAACTACGAATTGCACGAGTCTGGCAGCGCCACAATACGACGTCACATTCGTTTTAAGTTGTTTTTGTTTGAACCTTAATATGTAAACAATCCAATGACAAAGAGTTCTCAAAACTAGCCAATCCTGAACAAAATTGATGTATCTATCGGATAAAATTATTTGTTTAAGGCTGAAAAGGCCAACTACTTAGTAATATTAAACGGAATATCAAATTCGAGGAATATCAACGTTGAATGTTTTGAAAAAAACAATCGATACTATCGTAATAGTATCGGGCTTAAATAATGATCGATAGTGCCCTCGATGGTTTGACACCTCTAATAAATATGAAAAAATTTCGTCGCGAATTAACGTGCATTAAATGGAATAAATAGGCTGCGGAGCAAGAGGAAAACCAGTGAATAGGGAAAAACGTACATGAGCTCAGCACCTGAGGCAGAGGCATTGCTTAAAAGTACCTTAACCCACTGCGAATACCAGCCAACACACGCGCACACACCCACACACACGCACCTTCGTACGTCGTCCCCCACCATCGCCCCCCATTCGGCCTCGTCGACCATCAGCCATCGATGAAATAACATACATAACGTATACCGAAAATACATAAGGCAAAACGGGCATATAGGGCAACGGAGTGAGAGTGGTACACAACAGCAGCAGGTGAACACTGATAAAGGGAGACAAAACAAAGCCGAATCATGTCAGATATTATGAATATCGACAGTATTATCTCGCGTCTGCTGGAGGGTAAGTGGTGGCCCGCTCCTTTCCACTGCTGATGATTGATTTACATATTCCTTTACTGTAGTGCGCGGAGCACGTCCGGGTAAAAATGTACAGCTGTCGGAGAGCGAGATCCGCAGTTTGTGCCTAAAGTCGCGGGAGATATTTCTGTCACAGCCCATTCTGCTGGAACTGGAGGCACCGCTGAAGATCTGTGGCGACATACACGGGCAGTACTACGACCTCTTGCGTCTGTTCGAGTACGGAGGATTTCCGCCAGAGTCCAACTATCTGTTTCTGGGCGACTATGTGGATCGCGGCAAGCAGTCCCTGGAGACGATATGCCTCCTATTGGCATATAAGATAAAATATTCGGAGAACTTTTTCTTGTTGCGCGGCAATCACGAGTGCGCCAGCATCAACCGCATCTACGGGTGAGCCCCAGACCGCCAGGCGCAATAACATTTGCATTATCGCAGGCATAAACTCATCTAATTGATCTGATGACAGGTTTTACGACGAGTGCAAGCGGCGTTACACCATCAAGCTGTGGAAAACTTTCACAGACTGCTTCAACTGCCTGCCCGTGGCGGCCATTGTCGATGAGAAGATATTCTGCTGTCATGGCGGCCTCAGTCCGGACCTGTCCTCGATGGAGCAAATCCGTCGCATAATGCGTCCCACAGATGTGCCCGATCAGGGCCTACTGTGCGATCTGTTGTGGTCCGATCCAGACAAGGATACCATGGGCTGGGGCGAGAATGATCGCGGTGTAAGCTTCACATTTGGAGCGGAGGTAAGTTGCAAGTCCACCATGAGTGTGCATCAAATGCTAACGAATGTCCTGCCTTCCTTTAGGTTGTGGGTAAATTTCTACAGAAGCACGAGTTCGACCTCATCTGTCGTGCCCATCAGGTGGTGGAGGATGGCTACGAGTTCTTTGCCAAGCGGCAGCTGGTCACGCTCTTCTCGGCGCCCAACTATTGCGGGGAATTCGACAATGCGGGTGAGTCTTGATTGACAATTGACGCGCGTGTGTGCAGGGACTTTAGTCCGCGATAATCTTATCGGCTTGTTGTGTTGGGAGAGTAAACTTGTGTGGAGAAGACGCATCACACAGGGTTATCGCTGATCCCAGAGATAGTCACAGACAAGTGAAAGCTGAAATCTGAAACGACCTACTGCGCATTTGATTGCATGCATTAGCAGGGGATTGATTGAACAAATTTCTGTGTGTTTTTTTTATTTCAGGTGCCATGATGTCCGTTGATGACACGCTGATGTGCTCCTTTCAGATATTAAAACCCGCCGATAAGCGACGCTTTGTGTATCCCAATTTCGGCAGTTCGGGTCGTCCTCTGACACCGCCCCGTGGCGCCAACAATAAAAACAAGAAAAAATAAGCAGCCACGCCGCACGAGCACACTGCACAATAGAGACGGCCAACACACAACCCAACTCGCAAGAGCATTGGGTGGTGGTGGGATGGGTAAAAAGGAAAGGCAGAACGAGTCCAGAACTGGAAGCGCAAAGAGTTTGTTTTTATCGAATATATATATATATGGATGTGTAATCGAATCGAATCGTGAGCAACGTTATATGGGGTATATGAATCTATACAAATTAGCCTATTTTTCATTTGAAAAACGAAAAACAAAACAACAACAAAACGAAAATCGAAACTAAAAAAATTAAACCACACAAATCGAGAGACACTTTAGTTCAAACTAATGGTAGTGTAAGACACTGCATAAGCAAAAGGCAAGGCAATGATGGAGGAATGAATATTTGTATCTCCTATAATGTATTAATTGTGTTATAGTTTTTTTCCCTTTTCGCAAAAAAGCAAAAGCAACAAACACACACAAACACAAACAAACACCATGCATAGCACAGGTACACACGGTATACAGTAGGTACATAGAGTGCACGCACCAGTTGTATTTTATTTCGCATTTTTTATATATCTCGCAAAGAATTTTTTCTATCGTCTTTCTACTACTATCCTTCACACCTTTGTATGTTTTTTTTTATATTACTTTTCTATCTAGCAAAACGAATGTTAGCTCTGTACGGGGAATATGCTTTTAAATATGTGTGTGCGAGCCAAACTACATATTACATATGTACTCGAAAGCACGAATCTATATCTATCTATATATTTTTGTAATATTGTCTTAGAAAAACTCTACATCATATACTACATGTTTACTTAGTTTTAAAAAACAAAGTGAGGAAGCAATTTTTTTTAGTTGCAATCTACATAAGTTTCAATTGTTTACACCAAAAATATTAAAATAAACAAACATTGTGTATATTTTTTTTAAAACTATTTGCGTTAACCAACACACACTCCCACACAAACACAACACACACACCCTAAATCAATTGATGAAAACACAAATGAATTTTACATGTTTTCCCACACCCAAACTAAAAATTAAAAAAGACAACAAAAAAACCAAAAAAAAAAAAATATCAAAAAAGGCTTCTTGAAGCACTGTTAGTTAAGGCGCATACTTTTGAGAGGCACTGTGTGCCCTCTGCTGATGTCAGCGACGCGGCAGATAATGTTACTCTATCTCCCCTATCCCCCTCTATCCCTGTAACACCTATCTCCAGCGTTTGGAAAACACGCAAATTAAATGCATGGAAAATACCTAAAAATAAAAAATTCACAAAAATAATATAATTATTGTAAGCCGAGCAGCAGGCACACACACACACACTCTGTCGTATAAGTATTTTGTATACTTTGTGCATTTTGTATTACGATTACAGTCAGAACATTCTAGTGCTAAAGGCCGGCACATCAAATCCGCATCCAAGTATTACGCCCAGCCGATGCAAAACGCGACGCGAACCTGACGTACATTACCTCTTCCCCGCCCCTCCCAAAATGGTTTCGTTTGTATAATCCCCCGCCCGACAACCCAACTAATCCAAATGGCAACCACCAATCGCGTAACCCAAAGCGAATTTGAATCCTCGTCTAAATCACACTCCAGTACTCTGTTCAATGTTGTAACGAATTCCATGTATATTTACACGCATATACATATGTATGTCTGTATGTTTGTATGTATGTTTGTACTCGTAATATCAAGATCAAATATTGACATCCATCGGCTGTTTTCAACACAACACAAGACAAGACATAAGAAATCTATAAAGTAATATCGTAAATTTATTTCAAAACGGAAAAATTGGAAAAGACAAAATGAGTATAACAAAAACAAAAAAATCATTAAAAAAAAATTAACAAAAAAAAAGAACTCAATGACGAAGCACTTGTAACAAAATAGCACTGTTTTATTAAAAAGAAAAAGGAAATACATACTAGCAATAAAAAAAAAATAATAAAAATTATGTGGTTTTAATTGGATCTCAAAATGAGGACACAAATTTATTATTATTATTATTATTATTAAATAACTTACTATAAGGTTTAAACCATTTATTTGCTTAGATTTGATTACTCAGACAAGCCGGAGTACAATATCTTTGAGTGAAGAAAATACCCATAATCTACGGGTATATCTTAAACTTTCCTACGAGAAACTTGTTAACTGCCAGGTTTTTTTTCTCTATTAATTTGTTTAGCAAGGGATTTCCGTAATGTACCTATAAAAGATTATTTTCATGCTCAGATTTCTAGCTAAAAGTGACCGATTTTCTTGGGTCTAATTTTAATTAGATTATAATCGTATTTATTTTCCACCTCAACCTTTAAGAGGCTTTTATTTTCCATTAATAGCTATAGTAATTCGTAAACTTAAGATTTAACCCTGAATCAATTATATCGCAGTGCGCAGCTCCTGCCCAGTGGTGCACACGTGGCACCCGTGCCTCTGCCCTGCTTTTCATCCGCCTGCAGCCGCAACTGCAGCATCTTTTGGCGCAGGGCGTAGGGCGTTGTTGTTGTTGTGGTGCTGTTCAATTGCTGCTGCCTATTGGCCTCGTTATCGCGGTCCTTGTGCCACTTGTCCGTGTTGGCATTGCTCCGCTCTAGTTTTTCGTAGGCCTGCTGCAGTCTGAGCTCATCCCGACGCACATCGCTGAAGCATTGGCTGGCGTTCATCAATCGAAACTTTTGGAGTGCCTGCAGCTGCTGCAGCTCGTTGTTGTGGCTGTAGTGTAGCATTGATGTGGGCTGATGGGGTGACGCTGATGACGATGACGCTGTCGAGTTGCCACTTTGAACCTGAACCTGACCCTGACCTTGGCTCGGCTGGCGACTGGCGACGCATGCGCTCTGCTCATAGAAACGTCGATTGTCCGTGTACTGAGGGGAGCTGCTATTGCTATTGCCGCTGCTGCTGGTGGTGGTGTTGGTGTTGCTGTTGACACCTCCTGTTCGCTCCCAGCCCCATCGTAGAACCTTGGCCCGACTCTGCTGCCGTTGCTGGGAGGAGCTGCAGCTGCAGCTGGAGCAATGACTCACCGAGGCGGCTGTGGAGTTGCGTCGACTAAACTCGTTGCTCAGCCCGGTGCTGGAGTGACCCAAGCCCAGTCCTGGCCCATTCGACTTGAGGCTCGGCCTCCTCACAAACTGCGTGGGTCTTGTACTCTGCCTGGATGAAGACGCCACCGACATGAGATCGCCACGTGGACGCTGTGGCTGCGACTGCGACTGCACCACAGATGATCTCATCGCACTGCCAGCTCCAAAGTTCCCGCCGCAGTAGCAGCGATGCATTAGGTTTTTCGGTTGGGTTTTGGGTTGGGAAATATCTCTCTCTATGGTAGATGGCGTGTGGCTCTGCTCCACTCGGATTGCGTGCTCACAGAATGTTAAGAGACGACTGCCACCGCCATCGCCACAGCGGACCGGTTTGCTCACATGTGCCTGCTGGGTGCCCAAAGAAACTCGGCACTTTATCACCAATCATCAGGCCATACACAGGCTTACCGTTAGCCGGCTCACACACACACACACACACGCACACGTACGCATCATTTGTTTATATTTGAACAACAATTGCAACAGTTTCCATAGACACATGCTCGCGGTCCTTGGGCCGTTTTTGTTTTTGGGTACTAGACACAAAAGAATTTGCTGGCCAAACGAAAGACTCAAGCAACAAACTTGATTTTCCCACTAATTGGTTTGTGTGATCTAGCCAGCCCTTTGGGGGATCTTCTGAAACTATTAATAATTAATAATAATAATTAATAATAATGATAATAATTTATAATAATAATAATAATTGATAATAATTATTTCTTAATATTTTAGAAGCATAAAAAAAGTTTGAGTAACATTTTAAACATTTACTAAATTTAACAGATCAGTGCACCAGATTAATGTATGCAAAATAACCAACAATATTTTTCTATGATTTTTAGAGATTATAAATTTTAAAAATTAATTTGGCAGGAAACAGCAGACCAAAATGCTGCTTAAAGTTAAACGATTTATCGCATTAACCAGGCAGTAATAAACTAATATTTATCGCTCATAAATCTCTAATAAAGAGCTCATAATTTTAATAAAATTTCCACAAAATATGCAAAGAGTTTGGTTGACTTTAAAATATCGTAATTTAAAAATGCTATAAAATGGATATGGAAAGTTGATCTCAATAATTCCAACACCTATATTATTTGTTTACTTTAATGCTATGTCGTAAAATAATTTCCCGATTCCACCCAAAAAAAACAATTAAATTTTCATGTAATCATGAATGCCATTAATTTATGCATTGCCCCCAATAAAAACTCGTACGAGTGTTGTAGAACCTACACTAAAATCAATCAGGTGACTGCAACCGAACCGTTTCAACTTCCTGCAAGACAATGAACCAGAAACCGCTGGCCCCCATTTATTGAATAAGACAACAGGCGAGTCACAGCTATCAGGGTTCCCCGAGCGCTCATCCATTTACTTACTACCGTCTCGGGGCATGCATGGCTTAAAAAACCCTCAATTAGGGTTTACAACCGTTGGCCATTAAACGCATGTAAAGTTCAATGAACCAAATCCAAAATGAAAATGAAAGGGCAATAACAGGGTTGTTCCCATTGGATATGCTTATGACTGGACTGGCACTGGAACTGGGTCTGGGACTGGGTCTGGGACTGGTGCTAGCGCTGGAGAGGGTTCCATCCATGCCATGGCAAGTGGTTGCATTGCCAAATGCGACGAGGCGGAAAGCAAAAGTTGTCCGCATGCGCTTTTTGGGGTGGTCTCTCACACACACCACATGCTTTTTGGGCCAAAGCTCGCTCGATTGGAGAGGAGCTTCATTGATTGCTGGAAGCTTTTTCAATATGTGTTGGTGGTGTGGGGAGGGAGGGAGGGAATTGGCGCTCTGCTCGTTGCGTCTGCGCCGTCGTCGCCGCTGCCGCTGCCGTCGCAGCCGGGGGGCTCAAGCTTGGTATAAAAACTCGATCGCTCGACGCATCCCCTTTACAAACAGTGATAAGTCGCGGCGAGAACCAGGCTGGACAAGAGGACTTGCCAAACGAAAGAGTCGACTCGAAGTAGTGCGTGTGCGTGCGTGTGTGTGCGTGTGTTTGGGTGTGTGTGTGTATGTGTGTGTGTGGTTGTAAATCAAAAAGTTACACTTGGGAAATAGATCTCTTCACTCTACTCTACTCGACTTCGTACATCCGATTCCGAAAACATGTTCCGTGTGTCGGCCACAGCTTCGCTGCTGCTGCTAATCGTTGCGGTTGCGCAGGAATTAATTGTAACGGCAACGCAAGATTTGCGTAAGTATACCTATTCCTCTCCTCCCTACCTCCCTCCCTCCCTTAGTGTCCAATTCGCATGCCCAGTCGAAAGTGCAAAAATGTCTTGGATTTTGGAATTAGTTTTTTTTTTTTTTTGTTAACCTTTGATTACAGTTTTTTAGTGTTTTACTGTTTTGCTTTTCGTACGCCCCATGTGGCCTGGCCTATGGTTATGGTTAAAACGTGATAGATATTGTTTATTAGCTAGTTAATTTCGTTTTGGGTCGCTTGGCCCCAGGCCCTGGAGGTCACTCCGCGTAATATTCTCTAAATGACAGGCCTAAACAGAGGGGCGAATGCAAATCGAGGCGTGTGTGTGTGTGTCTGCTGCAGCTTATGCAATTGTAGCAAACAGGTTGACAGCGACGGCGACGGGTTTCGGCAGACAGACAGACAGTCCACTGATCCACAGATCCACATTCAATCCAGTTCAGTTCAATGCAGCAACACTTCCGCTTCGACGCTTAAGGTGTCACATGCCGCAAAAGAGAAGGACACAGACAGAGATGTAATCGATACCGAAATCAATCCATGGGGTGTAAATTAATTTCAGCATTCCATTGAGTCTGGTGTGGATGATTAATTAATGGAAACTGTTGCCATAGGTCATGCCTTGGCTTGGCTTGGCTTGGCTTGGCTTTTGTCTGTCTGCCACACAATCAACAAATATTCACGAGTATTCATGATAAATAGCCGCTTGCCGTGCGCTTCAACTTGACATTGAGCTACTAAAATATGCTAGCTCAGCTTCTTTCGAGATATTTCTGTTTTTGTTTACAAAAACGAGTTTTTGTGGCCAACGAACTCTGGCCGCACGACAGCTGGCCCAATTGCAGGGGCTCAGGCAGGCAGGCAGTCGGGCAGGCAGGCTCTGGGACTTCCGCAAGATACCAAAAAATTTCAATGTCATGACCAACTGATTTGAGTTGAGTATTTTTTGTATTCTCTCTCTCTCTCGCTCACACCGTTTCTGTTGTTTTTTTTTCCACAGCCGAAGGCTTTCCCAAATGTAAACGAGATGCAAACTTTGACAAGTGTCTGGTGGATGCTGTCAACCATGCCATAGTGCTGCTGAAAGATGGTTCGTAGATGCTAACACACAATGGGATTACGTGCAAAAGGTGGTTTTAACTAACTCTTTGAACCGTTGACAGGCAATAAAGAATTCGGCATTCCGCCGCTGGAGCCGCTGTCCGTGAAGAAACTTGTTATAGATGCCGGCAATGCGCCAATAAATCTACGTCAGGCCTTGAAGAATGTGAAGGTGCACGATCTGATCTCCACCAGCAAGATCCTACGGTACAAAACCGATCTGGACAAGCACTTGATTATCTGTGAGAGCCGCACGGATCGCATTGAGATGATCGGCGACTACGAGATGTCCGGTCGCATTCTCCTGCTGCCCATCACCGGCCATGGCAGGGCGAATGTGACGCTGGTGAACACCAAGATCGAGCATCGTCTGATTGGGGAGCCCTTCGAAAAGGATGGCGTCAAGTATATGCGCCTCAAGGATTATCGCGTTAACTTCGAGCCGAAGCGTGTGTATCTGAAATTTGAGAATCTCTTCAACGACAAGACCCTCTCCGATGGCATGAATCGCTTTCTGAACGAGAACTGGGAGACGGTATTCAATGAGCTGAAATCTGGTTATGCCAAGAGCTTTGGCTTGATATTCCGCGAGCTGTCAAACAAACTGTTTGAGAAGGTACCCTTCGATACTATATTCTTAAGTTAATGGTTGGATTTCGTGCATCTAATTTATGTTACTATTTAGTCAATAAAGGATTTTTTAACATTTAATATATATAATTTATAATATCTATGAGGCGGAATTTGAATTCAAACGTAACGATATGTAATCGTTATCGGCTTATCGTCGATAGTCCCGTTTCAATCCCGTTTCGATAGTCAACCAAGACTGATATATCGAAAGTGCCATCGATGGTTTTGCAGCTCTAATTGATGTTTTTTTTTTGTTTAAAACAATTTTGCAAAAAAATAAACGCATTTCCGCCACCTACTACTTAACTGGCTGCCTGCATGGCGGAGAAAGCTATGACCATGGATGGCACAGTGTCGGAAGCCAAGTACCAGAAACTAGCCAGTGAATACTCAAAGGTAAGATTCGGGTCGAATTTCTCTGGCCGCCGCAGCAGCAACAGTTTACGCCCCATTAACGGCTGGCGTTAATCTAATTTAATCCACATCCGCACAGCTGCGAGCCCAGGCCACAGTGCTGAAAAAGGCCGTGCTGGAGGAACAGGGCAAGGAGGGCGGCCTAAGGGAACAACTGCAGCAGTATGCCACATCGCTGCGCCGCACCGAACAGGAGGTCGACTCGCTGGGCTTCCGCAACAAGCAGCTGGAGTCTCGGGTCTCGCAACTACAACAGGAAATCTCAGTGCACGAGCAGCAGAGGAAGAAAAAGGACAAGGATTCAGCTCCAAGGCGGGGCCTGCTGGGTGGCACCAGAGTGGATGTGGGTGACGCCACCGCCTCTGGCGAGGCTGCATCCCATGAAGCAAATGCCGCCCAAGAGGCCCTCATATTTGAAGAGCTGCAAAAGAAAATCATGGAAAATGCACAGCTGACGTCATTGGTAAGCGAAATTCTGTGGGGGACAACAAAAGAAAAGTCTGCTCTAACCCAACCCACACACAGATTGATGACAAGCAGCGAGACTTGTTGCTGCACACGGAGCGGATAGCGACACTCGAACAGAAGCTGGAGAAGCGCATTGGGGACCAAAACGAACTGGAGAAACGTTTGCGAAAAGAAGTCGAAACATTGCAGCACAGAAACAGCGAGCTCGAGACCAAACTGGTGGATGCTGCCAGCATGGTAGGTGTAACCTGTCATAGCTCAAGCCTCAAACTCATCCTTCACTTGATCTTGCTCCGCAGCTTGGCAGCGAGGACGCTTTGAGTGCCACCGGCAGTGACAACACGCCGCTGCACAATCTACAGCAAAACAACTCGAATCATGTTGTGCAGCTCACGGCGGAGGATCGCATTGCTGTGCTGGAAAAGGAAGCGGCCCATTGGCGCGCCCAATACGAGGTGGCCAAGCTGCACCAAAACTTAAACGCGAACCCCAGCAAGGATCTCAGCATATGCAGCTGCAGCACTGCTGCGGCGGGCATAACCGTCAAGCCAAGCGAACCGGAGGCCAGAGGGAGCCAACGGGCGCGTGATTCCATGCAGGAGCCGCCGGAACCGCCCACCAAGGAGCAACTCATTTACAGCGTATTCAGCAAAAAGTTCGAAGATCTGCTGCGGCTAAAGGTACAGGCCGAGTCGAGGCTACGTTCCTTCGAGCTGGAGGTGCAGCATTTACAAAACTGCCTGGAGAATGCCACACATGAACTGAGCGCCAAGGATGAGCAGCTGGCCAGCCTGGGCGGCGCACTGCAAATGATGGAAGAGGAGCTGGTAGCTTGCAAACCCCTCCCCCAAGACTTTGCTAAACCTAACCATTGACCTCTCTCCTTCCAGACGACGACGCGAATCAATTATGAGGAGCAGATCAGCGTTCTCACCGAGCAAGTGATTAGTCTCAGCGACCAGCTGGCTGCCTGCAAATGAACGGAGCCGTTGCGGGCTCCTCTTGTCCCGATTTCATGTATATTATTGTAAAAACTAACCAGGCCCAGCCTGTCTGCGTTATTATGCAATATCCTTCTGCTCCTGCCCCTGCTCCCCCGCTACCCCACTCTTGTTTGTTGTCCAGCATCGACGTGTATATAACTGAACATATATATGTGTATCTATTAAATAATTCACTAACGTTTAACAACGGCTTAGCCGATTACAATTTAACGGAGAAGGACGAGCCACAGGAGCAGCCCTGCTCGGCCAACGGATTGGCCATCATGCGAAAGCCCGCTCGTATCAGCTCGGCATGATAGTCGACGGTGGAGCCAGTGCAGTACTCCAGCGACACGGTGTCAATCACCACCTTGGCTTTGTCCTCGCCAAACTGTAGATCGTCCTCGTTCATCTTGTTGTCCAGATCGAACTTGTACTGGAAGCCCGAGCAGCCGCCACCCTCGACGGTGATGCGCAGAAACGAGCCATCGATGCAGATCTCACGTAAACGTTTCAAGCACGGCTCACTGACCTGTATCTGCTGCTGTTTTTCATTGGCATTGGCCGAGGCGGCGTGCCGGACGGCAGCCACCGAGCTTAAGAAATTTCTGCAGAACAGCGAAATTACCATACAGATTAATCACGAATTTAAAGTGGTAATTACCTTTGCAGCCCCGGCTTGATCAACTGCCTCAATAGGAACGACATTTCCAGGCCGAAAATAATTTCAAAATTTTTATTTACAATCTCGTAATAACAAAGCCAGACAGCTGTTCGCTGCGATGAATTTTTCGCAGTAGTAGTCGATAGATTTGCTGTCAGGCGATACATCGATTGCATGTCGCATCGATACACGCTGTGAGCATTCCCTGCGCTTGCGCTTCAGTTCTTGTTGTGGAATTTTGAAGACGTTGGCGTTTGATTTTGTTTATTGCGTGTTTTTTTATTCGTTTCGCTGTTTCGTTTGACCGTTTTGTATGTTTTTAGTGTTAGGAAATAGCAACAGCTGATGGCTTTACATATATCGGTCAGAGGACAATTTGGCAGCAGCTGCAGGAGACCCGTCAACGTACTCGACGATCCAGCCCGTGTCAAAAAAGATCTTGAAAACGAGCGTCGCATAACTCGTTTACAGCAGGTACGCCAGCGTCTACGCAGTAGCTATCTGTCCGAAGGTTTGGTTACATTTACGACGCTGTTTTGTTTTAGGTGCGTGAGAAGTCCAACCACTTGGCCCGGAAAATACGCGAGGATGTTGCTGCGGAAAAAAAGCGCCAAATTGATCGATTGGAGCAGACCAAGCAGGACGAGCTGAAAGTGTGGCGTGAGCATGTTTTGGTCAAAAAGCACCAAGACTACCGCTCGGCCATATTTCAAGTGGGTTCCGCCCATCGGGCAGCCAAAGCGGAGACTGAGCGCACCGAAAAGCGCAAGCAGGAGAAAATCGACAAAATGAAAAACTGCAGACTGCGTGCGATGAAAAGGAACGCAGGGAAAACGAATGTCAAGCTGAGATCAACCGCTGGCATGAATCTCAATGCACAGGGACGTGCAACGACTGGCACACAAACTCCTTTGCCCCAGCTGCCCCAGGCAGTCGAGCCCGATGACAAGGAGAATCGTGCTTCTGGCGGCGCGACACACAATTACCAGAGCAATCCGATGAAAAGCTGCTGCGATGACCATCCCGATTGCTTCTGCCTGACGACCGACGACGAGGATGCTTGTGACGATTTCGTGTGCGAGAGCAGCGACTCCTCCATCCTGCATTTGGACGATGATGGGGAGGAGCAGACGCGACCGTCCTCACCGAAATCCGATGCGACCAGCAAACTGAAGAAAAACCCCACAGTGATCTTAGATGTGGACATAGACGACGCAGACTGCCGTGTGATCAACACATGCACCACTGGCATGGACATCAACGACAGATACATTCAAACCAATCGCAAATTCAGCCATGTGGTGCGTCCCAGTCCAAGGACTAGTCCCGAGCGAAGGGACAGTCCACGCCGGCCACGGTTCACCCAAATCACGGACTTGGTTAAACGCAACGAGATAACTGTTAGGCCAGTGCAGCAAGCACCAGCTCAAGCTCCAGCGCCAGCGGAAGCGCAGCAAGTGCCAACAGCACCGCCGAGCCCCACAAAGTCACTGCCCCGATCGCCCAGGAAAACAATGCCAGCAGCAAAGCTTCCTCCCGAGGCTGCTTCTGGCAGCAGACTAGCCACCAAGCGGGCGCCATCTGCTGCCCAGCCACCCAAGAAAAGCTCAATAGCAGGAACGAGACGATCCACTGGACTGAGAACAGATCCACCTCCTGCCAAGGTGATCGATGCGGGAATAACAGGAACGAGGCGATCCACTGGACTGAGAACAGATCCACCTCCTGCCAAGGTGATCGATGCGGGAATAAAAAGAAAAACGTTGCCAACAAAAATAGGCAGTCAACCGTCAGCTGCACAACCAAAGGTCCAGGCCGCACAGCAGCCAACAGCCCAGGGAGAAGTCCCTTCAATGCAGCAGCAACAGCCGCAAATGCAACATCCCTCTTTAATGCAGCAAAATCCACAGATGCAACAAGCTCTGCCAATGCAGCAGCATCCGCAAATGCAGCCACCTAATGCTCTGCAGCAAGCACCACAATATCCTCATCCTCTACAGCAGCAGCAGCAGCAGCAAGCACCTTTTCCTCCTTTACAGCAGCAGCAAGCACGATACCCTCCTCCCATGCAGCAGCAGCAGCAGCAAGCACGATACCCTCCTCCCATGCAGCAGCAGGCACGATATCCTCCTCCCCTTCAGCAGCAACAGCAAGCGGCATTCCCTCCTCCACATTCGTACGCTCCGTATCCTCAGGCTCAGGCGCCATATCCACAAAATGCGATGCAACCATATGCCATGCCCTTTCCCGGCTATCCGCAATATCTACCACCACCACCTCCACCACATGCCGTGTACGCACAGCAGCAACAGCAAGCAATGGCTATGCCCATGCCAAGACCCCCACCGCCAGTTATCCCTGCCGCGGCACCACAAAGATCATCAACAGCAACCAGCGACCGATCATCGACCGGCACATTCATCCTGCGACAAAGTGACCAACAATCGAATCCAGTCAGTAGCGTTCACTTCTACGATCACAACAATAAGTATCATCGCACGTACGAGGCGCCCGTCCAGTCAGTGCAATTAAATGGCCCAGATCCCAGACTACCGAGTGCCATGGCCCAGGCGCTGGATGAGAATCATCTGAGAGGACTGCGCGAACAAGAGCTGGACCAGCTCAGGTAAGATTAACAACTGAAAATCAAAAAGAAAATATAATCCAAAGCATCTGCAAAAACAGAAAAAAATGCGATAGGCGCGGTCAGAGGGCCCTGGAACGCGAACAAGTGAGACGGGACTGCGCGGAGTTGACCGAAAAGCTGGAGGCTTTGTCACAGCAGCAACCGAATCTACTGCCCAGCGATGTGAGTGATAAATGCAGTCCCAATCCCATTCCCATGTTTCCTTAATTGATATATTTTGTAGGCTAACTTTATAGCCGGTCATCGCTTTGCGGATTTGGCTGCGCGACGGGAGCACAAAATGAACGAGGCCATGGAGGAGATGTTGCTGCGTCCGGCCATTGTTACCTGCCCTGAGGTTGGGGGCAATACAGCAGCTGCCAGGCCCGGCAGGAGCAAGGTCACCGCACCCAATGCCATCAATTTGGGCGAACGTCCAGATAGAGGGGCGGGCTTTAAGGGCAGCTCAGATAGCTGCTGCTCCATGCTGCTCGACTATGTGGACGATCAGAGCAAGCAGCTGCGCTCGGATCTCAGGGCAGAGGACGCCAACACCCCGAAATCACTGAGATTGAAGAACTTACTGGACCGCGTGGAACAGATACGCACGCAATTGATGGAGGAATTGAAGGCAGGCGAGCGACCCGACTCCCATGCAGACAAGGACAAGGCGGTGCTAGACGCCATACGGCAGGAGCGTGAGGATATACTGACCGAGAAGGCGCGCACCCTAAACGTACGGGAAACGGAACTGGAGCAAAAGGAAGCACTGCTCGAGCAGCGTCTGAAAAAGTTCTACAAAGAGCAAAAACAAAAGAAGAGCAGCGACATCGAAGTCAATTCCAAGAATGGCGATAATCCAGTGATCATCATTAAGGTCAACAGCGATGGCACTGTCAAGCAGTGTAAGCCCAAGAACAAGTCGAAACCCACAGGAAGATCTACGGCCATAGAAAGCATACCCACGGAGTCAGCGCCAACGGAACCCAAGGATCAGCGTCAAAACTCCATCGATTCGAATTCCACAGCCTACCGGAGTCTGCCACCGATTAGCTATAAGAATCCGATTGCCCCAGCGACTGCAACTGAGGGGCTGCCCACGCCAGTGGATCCCTTGATTGCCCACTATATACAGCGTCTGCTGGGCATGACACGGCGCTCCATGCAGGAGCTAAGTGCCAGCAGCTCGGAAGTGCCCACGCCCGATCCATCCATAATCAATGTATCCGCGAACATATCCAAAGAGGAGACTGTTGCCGATAAGCTGCGCGTGGAGCCTGCACCTGCACCAGCACCTGAGGCTGAGACTGTGACTGACAGGCTGAGCGTGGAGCGTGAGGGTCAGACTGCAGCGGACAAGCTGCGCGTGGAGCGCGTGGAGCGCGTTCAAGCTTTCATTCAGGACAATCGCAGTTTCGTCGACGAGCTGGAGGACACAATGCGCAGCCAGCAGCAACAGCAGCAGCAGCAGGACAAAGAGAGTAGCATGCAGGCCTTTGATCAGATTTGGAACAAGCGTTTGGCCAACAAGGTGGTACCCGATACAGCTCGCACGACAAAGGAGACGGCCAAAAGGCACAAAGAGCGCAGCCGTGAGCGGGTGCAGCCTCGTCCTAGCAGCAGCCGGTCAAGTTCATCCAGAAAGTCTGCTACCCCAGCTGCCCCGGCCAAAAGAACAACCCCATCTGCAGTGGAGAAGTCGGATAAGCAGGCCCCTGACCAGGAGCCGGCCGATCTGCAGATTGAACGATATGCGCAACTCACCGAGAACTGCACGCACCGCATTGCCGAGCTGACGGAACTGATCACCAAAGTGCGCGAGGAGAAGCAGCGCTTGGTGGAGGTGACCTTGACATCGGCCAGTGATGGCGAGCGCCAATCCACGGAATACTTCGACCTGCCGCCCGGGCAAACGCAGCCGCAGCGGGACACCCAGCGGCAGCCCAGATCTAGGACTCTCTCGGAGCGCAGCGACAACACAACGCCTTCTACCTCGGAGGCTCTTCCGCTCATAAAACACAAGCCAATGGGGGCCAGCCGAGACAGTGGTATCTCCGAATCGCGTCCCATTACGGCTTTGGGGCAGGTAAATGTCGAGCTAGAGCCGCCCTTATCCACACAGAGCACCACACAGCGACGGGGTAGGGCACCACCGGCCACCATACGCCGCTATAGCCCCCAACTGGATGCGGAGGATCTGGCCCACGAACTGTCCACCATAGCGGAGGTGGAGACGCCCGGCCAGTCGCATATAGTGGCTGCCACGCCAGTGCCAAAGCCGTTTCCCAACTTCGATGATTATGCACGAGAACTGCGGCTGGATCTGTCCCACCTGGATGCCGATCAAAGCCAGAAGCTGCAAAGGGATTTCGATGAGCTTGTGCAGGCCATCAATAAGCGTTGCGGTGGCCTCAACTATCGCGAGTTTCCCAGCATAAGTGCATACCTGCACAACGTGACGACCACACGGCTGCATGTGGAGGTGACGGACCAAGGCACAGTGACGACAGGAGAGCTCATGCGGCAGTTGCGGCTGGACAGTGTGCCCATCGAGGACTTTCCCGATCGTCGGGAATACATGCAAAAGTTGCTCGACAATGTGCCGGCCGATCAAAGGGAACTGATTGATTCTGCGAGCCTCGAGAATGATTCATCGGATTCGTTTAATGTGGAAAAGGAACTGCGGCAACGTCGCATCGTCAGGCGCTCGAATGGCGCCACAGAAGTCATCACCAGCCAGGAAGTGGCCAGCAGTACGCGCAGAGAAAGCGTGCCACCCGACTCGACGGAACCGCCCAATGAGAGCGGCATTGATCAGCTCACTGGCAGCAGTTTGTCCCGAGAACTGGACCGGGAACTGCAGCGCATCGGCGTGCAGTGGCCCAGCACGAGGCGTCAGCGGCAGGCAGAGCCTGCCTCCTGCAGCAGCAGCAGCTCCAGCTCGCCACGCTCACACAGAAGCCGCCTCCGAGGCGGTCAGAGTCACACCTCGGCAAGAAAGTCGACACACACAACGTCCGAACGATCCGCCCAGGATGTCAGCCAAATTGGACGCTCCCTAAACCTGCGCGAGTTTCTCACACGGGAACTGCTCAAGCATCATGTGGGACTGGTGGACAGCTCGGATGATTCCCTGAAGAGTAGTTTTCTTCATTCCATCATCGATTCGCATTCAAGCTCACGGCCGAGCCCCAGCCCAGGCCATGGCACAGGGGCCACCAATGACCGACAAAAGACCTCGACTCCCAGGGGCTCCTTCCTGACGGTGCAGGAAAAATCGGGTGGCTCGTGCTTGCAAACGCCACAGGAAACGCCTCGCCTGCTGCCCTCCGGCTCGAACTCGCAACTATTTTCGGGCGAGAGTCGCATTTCACTGATCAATTATCCGGATGGCACACCGCCTGTGCCCTTCGGCTCGCAGCATCAGCAGAGCGCCAGGGCGACATCCTCCACAGATCTTACACAGATATCGACTAGGAAATCGGAAACCAAACGGAAACCAAGCTCCAAATCACCACGAAAATGATTCAGCATAGCTCCCCTACGGGTAATTGTAACCCAAACGGAAACTTAGCTCCAGATCACCAAGAAATGGATTTTTAATGGATCCTCCACAGCTCCTACACAGAGAAGAGCTGGCAAATCGGAAGCCAAACAGAAATCAGCCTCCAGATCACCACAAAAGCTTTTTTATGTGTCCTCTAGGAATGAATTTTATGCATTTAGCTCAAGGGATTTTAATTTTTAGCAACAAATTTTGTATGACAATTATTTATATTTTTAATAAACTGCAATTATTTATTCAAAAAAAAAAACACGCGTCTAACTAACAAGTTTCAAGTACAATTTGTTCACAATCAAGTAGGGTAGGGGGGTGGGGGAAATATACAATGTATATTTCATATATATATATTATAAGTACATTTGGAAAAACTAAACTACATAAATGAGTGAATTATGTGAGTAGAATATTTATGCATGTCATGTGTTGTGTTGTGTATATTTTTTGTTTGTTTGTGAACATTTCACTGGCTTTCCCTGGTCTTTAAACTCTCCCTGTGAGAGATATAACATAATATCTAAGTACAATACATATAAGGCAGCACACAATCTAGACTTTTCGGTATTCAAAACAATTGTTATCGAGTCTTAAACTAAAGCTAAGTACATGGAAACATGTTATATATATTACATACAAATATGTAGCTATGTAAGAAGAAAATCAATTTGGTACAGTTTCGTTTCCGACGTGCTACACACAGCACCAGGCCAGCGCCAGCTGTGGCGGTAAATGCGAATCCCGGAGCTTCCACTCTCCCAATCCATTCTCACTCACTCCTGCCGCTCCTGCTCCGGCTCCTCCTCCTCCGACGAGTGTTGCGCCGCAGCCCTTTCGGTCTCTCGTTGCCGCTGCATACGCTTAAAGGTATCGCTGGCCACCTTCTTGAGGCCATCGCACTCACTGCCCGTGGCCTCGACCATTTGTCGTAGATGGCCACGCGATTTTTTGAGCAGCAAATGGGGCACATCGAACTCCACCGCTGTGCCAGCGTCCATCACAATAATGCGATCCGAATCCATGACAGTGTGCAGTCGATGGGCAACCGTGAGGACGGTGCATTGCTGGAACTTGACGCGAATGGTGCGCTGTATCAGGCCATCGGTCCTGGTAAGAAGTTTATAAGTTTATAAATGAGAGCAGATGGCAAACTGGAGAGAACTCACTGTGGATCCACATTGGCCGTGGCCTCGTCCAGCACCAGAACCTTGTTATTCCGCAATATGGCCCTGGCCAGGCACAGCAGCTGTCGCTGGCCAACGCTAAAGTTGCTGCCCCGCTCCGTGACCATGTAGTCCAGTCCGGGAATGGCGCCACGCAGCTCCACATCCTCCAGGGCATGCCAGAGCTCAGCGTCCGTGTAGCGCTCAAATGGATCCAAATTGTAGCGTATTGTGGCGGAGAAAAGCACCGGATCCTGGGGTATAATCGATATGCGAGTGCGCAGAATCTCCAGCGAAATGCTGCCCGTCTCAATGCCATCGATATAGATGCCGCCCTCGATGTGCGCCAAACGGAAGAGTGCTCCAATCAGCGACGATTTACCAGCACCTGTGCGGCCGACAATGCCCACCTTCCAGCCCGGTTCGATGGTGAGGCTGAGATTCTTGAGCACCGGCGATCCATTGGGATCGTAGCGACAGCTCATGTTGCGCAGCTCCACCTGGCCATGGGTGGGCCACTGTGCCGGTGGCTCCTTCTCAGTGACCGCCGGCTCCTGCTCGAGTTCGGTGTACTGCAGCACACGCTCCACGCTGGTCATCTGCTGCAGGGACTCGGCCACCTGCCGAACGCCATACTGCACCATGCCCGTGAGTATCATGGCCTGGGAAATGGCCAGGCCCACATTGCCGCTGTATGTGGCTTCAAAAAAAGAGTTGCGAAAAATTAATAGAAAATGACAAAAATGCCAAAAAAAATAATAAGAGACTCTGCCTCCCCCACTCACATTCATTGCTGATGATGAAGCTGAATGTGACGACCGTGAGGAAGACACAACTGACACAGTCCAGCCACAGACCCAGTGCCGTATTCACCGCCATTGTCAGCTGCCAGACGCTGCTGTGCACATCCTGCAGCAGATCAAACTCCTTGGCCACAACATCCTGCAGCTGGCGGGAGCGTATGATGGCCAGTCCCGAGAGCGATGAACTCAAATGCGAGAACACAGGACTCCGGCAGATGCCCTCCAGTCGCTTGAGATCCTGCGATGGTCGCAGATACAGCTTCAGTATGAGCATATCAATGACGGCCACCACAAGCATGGCCGCCATCAGCACCGGATTCACCACAGAGATGACAATTAGGATGCCAAACATCACCAGAGCAATCTGTATAAAGTCCATCATGGCCCTGGGCAGCAGCTCATCAATGGCGCCCATATCCTTGGAGAAGCGATTCAGTATCCTGCCGGATGGATTCGTGTCAAAGAAGCGCATTGTGGCATGCAAAATGCAGCCAAACATGCGATCGTGCAGCACCTTGGAGGCGTGCATGCACGTCTTGAAGAACAGAAAGCCACGGAATGTGGTCATGATAACCACAGCGATGATTAAGCCACCATAGATGTACATGCACTCGAAGGTGGTGAAGCTGGTGGGCTCCCCGAGCGTACGCTGATGCTCCTGCTGCGTCCAGATGTTCGAGAAGAAATCGGAACTGCTGCACACCACCTGGGACATCAGCATGACGAACACCATGAAGCTGAAGCTGAGGCAGGTGCTGCCCGCATGGAAATACTCGTACCAGACTTTCGGGGAGATGCCGCCCGACGCTTGGGCCTCAGCCATATCATCATCATCCTGATCCAAGTCTGTTTGACCGCTGCTGTTTAGCTGAGGGTGGGTGGGCGGAGAATGTTAAGGATTAGGGGACTTTAATTTGGGCCAGAGCTACACTCACCGATTTGCTGCCATGCGTGGAGTTGCTTTGTTTCCTCAGCGGCTGATAGCCATCGCGCACGCCATCCATGTAGGGTATATCATCGTCCTCATCCTCCGGATCATGTGCACTGATTGTGGGCGATGATGTATTCAGTCGGCTGCTGTTCTCCGTCTCCTCCTCCGCCTCTTTGGGTCGCTCCAGCAGCTTGGCAAAGTCCAGTTCGCTGTTGATTAGCTCCTGATATGTGCCCTTCCTTAGGATACGGCCCTGATCGACAATTACAATCACATCGGCCTCGGACAGAAAGTGCACTTGATGCGTGACCAGGACACGGGTGGCCTTCAGTTGGGCCAGACGTCCACGTGGTCCAATCACCTCATCGAACAGATGTCGCCCCACATGGGCATCCACGGCACTCAGCGGATCATCCAGGAGATAGATGGAGGCGGATTTGTAGACGGCACGGGCCAAACTGATGCGCGCCCGTTGACCGCCCGAAAGCGAGGCGCCTCGCTCACCCACCACCGTCTTGTCGCCGTTGCTCAGCTGCTGGAAGTCGGTGGTGAGGGCACAGCAGCGCGTGACCTCCTGGTAGCGCTTCCGCTCGTACTGCTCTCCGAACAGAATATTCTTGCGGACGGTGCCGGTGAAGAGCCAAGGCTCCTGGGCGGCATACGACAGATCGCCCTGGATCACCACGCCCCCGTCGATGATTGGCAGCTCGCCCAGCAGCAGCTGCAGCAGGGAGCTCTTGCCAGCGCCCACGGTGCCAATAACGGCGCACAGCTGACCCTTTTCGATCTGCAGATTGATGCTCTGGAGGGTGCGCTGTGCCGGCGGCTTCTCAATGTCCCAACTGGCATTGATATCCTTGAGGATGACGGCACGCGAATCGCCACCATCCTGATTCTGCTTGTGCGTCAGTCCGTGCGTCTTCTCGTCACGCCCCTCCAGCTGCAGATAGTCCTGGATGCGCCGCAGCGAGACCAAGGCCTCAGCTCCAAAACTGATGGCCAGGGGATACCAGATGGCAGCGACCAGCTGCAGAATGTTGTAGTAGCTGGCCGCCGAGAACACAAAATCCGCTGTGATGGGCTGGCCCATGAGAGCAGCCGCCGCCAGGGTGATGTACAATGTGGAACGCTCCGTGAACACCATGGTGCTGAGGTAGAAGCCACGCAGGTACGATGCATAGCGGATCTGTTGGATCTCGCTGCGTCGGGCCTCGGCCACGACAGCCTGAAAGGGCCGCTCCCAGGCATACATCTTAATCACCTGTATGCCCTGCACCAGCTCATTCATGATGCCCACACGAGCATCGGTGCGCTCGGCGATCCGCATCCGCAGCACAGACGTCAGCTTGCTGAGTGCCGTCTGCACGGGTATGGTCTTCAGCAGCAGTCCGATCACTCCGACCAGTGCGGGTATGCCAATGCGCAGCCAGATGAGGTAGCACGTGAGCACCGCCTGCATGGGCATTATCCAGATCCAGTGCACAAAAATGAAGCCATAGTCCAGTCGGTTGACATCATTTGAGAGAAGATTAATCAGATATCCGGCTGGCGTCTGGCCCGCTGTCTTCATCGAGAGTCGCAGCGTCTTGCGGTAGATCAGCGAACAGCAGGCAATGCGCATGCGTGCGCCCATCAGCCGCTGACGCAGATCCACATGATGCAGCAGAAAGCAGCAGAACAGCGTGGAGCCCACGAGCACATAGCCCAGGCTATAGGCATCATTCCAAATGTAGTCGGTGGCCTCCTCGAAGCTATTGCGCCAGACGCTGGCATTGCTGGGTGCCGCCTCCCCAGACGACAGCTGCACGTATTCCTTGGTGGCATCGTCGCCCTTGCTCAGGGCATTTGGCGAATTAGCTGCACAGTAAATTATATAATTAATATATGGATAAGTGTTGCTCCGATTTGGATATATTTACCATCGCTGCCTGCGCCGCTAGCAACTGCCACAGCCTGCGACAGCACATGGTGACCAATGGAGCGGGCTGTTCTATTCAGCGACTCCGTTAAGGATAATTCCCTAACGGGTGCGACTGGTGTTGGCAGCTTTTGGAACTGCAGCAACAACTGTGCCAGAACAGCGGGTATCAAGGTTCTAAAAGAGATCATAAAAGCATTTAGGATAAAGCCCAAAACCATGCCTGTTCTTCGACTCACTTGATCACTATGTAAATTAAGCAGATGAGACCATTAACGATCGTGGGTCCTAGGAAGCAGCGGAATAGGGCATTCCTTAGACGTGGCTTCTTCGATTTGCGATGGGCATGCTCCACCTCCTTGTACCACTCACTGAGGGACAGAGTTTTATATATTATGATGACTTATAGGGGTTCTACTTACTCCTCCAAACGATCGCCCAACTGCTCGGAATGATCCTCTTCAAGGCATTCTGTTAGATCATCTGTGTTTAGGCCGCGACGCGATCCTCTGTAGAGCAATGGCAACGCCCATACAAATATCAAATGTGACAAGATATTTGCACCCTGACGCGGATTTTTACGTTCCGGCTTTGGACTGCTATCCATGTTATCATATGGCTCGGCTCTGGTGTTTCTGCTTCAGCGTCTGGAGCTGCCACCTGTGTGTGTGTGCTGGTGGCGACAATCAAAACTAAACTCATGTTAAACATAAAACAAAAAGTCTGCGGCTCCATGGCTACAGGCACGACACTGATAAGGCTGAATATAATCAGCAGCCGCAAGTAATCCCATCCCGTTCACTTCAATATACCCTATACACGCATAGCCTATGGGCTGATATATTGCATTATATGTTTTGTTCATGTGGAACGCGTCTACGACTGTTTCTCTTATCAGTTACGACCTTGAGCAATAACTTATAACCCAATTAGTAGGGGATTTAATTATAATAAAGATTATGAACACTCAGTTCGCAGCTCTGGCTCAAAATATATACGCAAAACGAGTTGAAAAAAAATAAGCCAATACATATCCTAACACCTAACAGCTAACACCTAGTACTCAGTACTCTCAACCGGTTTAAATCCAGTTTTTAACAGTGAACAAAGGCAAACTCCGGGCACAGTAGTAGTAGCTTTAGGTAGCTTTAGGATTGATAGCATTTACATGAAAGGCTTTAGAATGATATGGCAATCCATGGCATGGATATGTCTAAAAATATTTAACTCTTGATGCAAAGATCTGAACAAGTCTACATACATAATGGACCCTCCAGCATGGGTATAAAATTAATATGAAAAATGTTGATTTAAGTCTTCGAGTAATTGAGATTTAACTTAATTTAATAAGAAGCACAAATTGTTCCTTTTCCGTATAATATCAATATTAAACTTTCCTATTTTCTTTCTTAGAACCTGGCACACCTGAGAGAAAACAGACAGCTCCCAGAACACCCATCTTTGACAGACCCATCCATACCTTAAAGATATGCCCGTTTCTAAGCAAGATTAGCACACAATTTAGGCACACAAAATAATTGAAATTCAGCAAGAAAAACTCTTACTACAAATATATGTATGTACTATAAAAAGCAAGACGAACTGTGTTCAGCATAGGCTCCACAAAATAAACACACACACGCCTGAAGAAGACGGTCAGTCACACCGTTTTGCTGCGGATCATATCGGTCATTAGCTCTGAGCCATGTTTATTTTCTTAGTCTGTAACTGATAGCATATGACACGAGGAGCGTAAATCAAAACGCATTTTGCGACAGGCACACGAACTCCTAGCTCTCCCGCCTGATCCTCGCTAGACAATAATCATAATGTTTATTAATTGGTAAGCAAAAGTCCAGAGACCTAACCAGATAAGCCACACACACAACACACAACATTGTGTTTTGGTTTTATTGGAGGTCATAAGCCATGTGCCAGACTAACACACAGTTTGACCCACTTATTCGCAAAAGGAAATTTTTTTCACTTTTCACATTGAAAGTTTTCCCATAAAAAAGCTGACGAGGCGGTGGGTGACGAGTTTCAAACATTTGCAAAGTCTTCAGCTTTCAGTTGAATAAAAGTTAAGTGATTGACCGCGAATTTTTCCATGCTTCTGGTTTTATTATGGAAGCGGCATTCAATGAAGTAATAGCATCACCATATCAAAGGCGCATGGCCATAACACAATTCTTTTCAATTGAACTTGATCGCTTTCAATTGTTTTGGGCGATTGCTATCCATTGAATGGCAATTAATTTACGTTAATTAAAAGGGAAAAAAAACCGAATTTTCTCTGATGTTAGGCACGACACTGCTTTCGAGTACAAAAACCCACATAATGAGTGCGATTATTTAAGTAATTAAAATAATCTCGCATCGCTAAAAAAGATATGATAAAATGGCACTACAGTTGGCCTACATATTTGTTATCACAGCTGATTAGAATGAGCGCCAGACGGTTAAAGGGTATTCATGCTATAAATTAGTTTGGGTTAGGTTAGGTAGGATACCTAGGATACCAACAGTCTTCCCTTCCCAATTCCCATTTCCTACATTTCCTGGAGATCTTCGTACTAGGTATATTTTTTTTAGAACACTTACACCCAGAGCTCGGCTCCTTGTAATTTTTGGACCACGTTTTCAAAAATTACTTCTAGTGCTCTGTTCTCCCCCACTCGCTTTACAGTTAGCTGCTGCGTGGAGCAACAGTTGTTCCATGCACTCAATTTACCGTATCATATATCATACGAAAATAGTTCAAACGAAATGAAATACAAAGCACCAAGTCACAGTGATAACTTTTCTTTCTGTTTCGGCTAAAAACTGTTGCTGGTTTTTTTTTTTTTGTGTGAAAATAAACACAGATTGTACAACAAGAAATAACAAAAAACAGTGATTAATTTTTTTTTACCGGCTAACGCAACGCACACAACAACACACACACACGGAGGCAAACGGTATCGGCGAACTCGAACCCCACAGAGCACAGGCAAACAAGTGGTTGCCAGACAGTCGTCGCTAGGGGGGTGGTGGTGGGGGGGAGTGCATCTAAATCTGGCAGGGTGTGTGGGGAAAACCGGCATTTGCAAATTCTTTCAGTATGGCACTCCCCCTCCCCACCACAGCATGTGCATACAATTGCACATAACCAAATTAAATAACGGTTAATGACGTAAAAACCAAAAGGGAGACAGCGACACAGAAACGTATCAAAGCAGAGGAAGCAAGAACAAAAAGCCAAGTGCTCACACACACACACACACACCCACACACCCACACAACACACACACAGTATGTATTTTTATGCCATTTATTACGCGAAAGACAGAGAGAGAGAGAGAGAGAGATAGCAGAGACAGCAATTGCCGCGCGATGAAGGGCGATGGAAGCACACAATTTATTCACATTAAACTTAATTAAATCATCAGTGCACTTACAAACACTACTCCAGCATTAATTATTTTCCACTGGCTGAGTGATTTGCGTAGCACTCGAAACAGTCGAAACCGTCGTCGCGGCGTCAACACGACACGTGCAGAATTACCCACAAATAAAAGAGGGAAAGGAACGGTAACGATAGACACAACGGACGAAAACGAACAGAAATCCGCCGCACAACAACCGCCTCAGTGCACTGCCCGTAACGGAATGGGGGGCTAATGCTCCATGCTCCAAGTCAATCTCTTTCCCAGCGAGAGCGTGTGGTATGTTCAATATACAGCAAAGAGAGCGGCAGAGGCAGAGCGCACGCAATGTATGTAAAGCTAAAGAGAGCAAGCATACACTGTCCTACAGGGTTTTAATAACGTCATTTAATAGCTTCAGAATTTGGCGATTTATGGCCTATTGACTCTACGATTATAATTTATTTGCATAATGAAGAAACTTTCCTTTTAGATTTAATGCCAAACAAGTTTTATATATTGGTTTATATTATGGTAAATAAAGAACTGATAGAACTGATAACTTACCAAAAATGAGTAGAGCATTTTTATGTATTAAACACAAAGTAAATAGGCAAAGGTGTACAGCTCGCTGCAAAGAGAAGTTTTGTGCAATTTAGTATATTTAATAGAGTTTAAATAGTGAGCCCCCAAAAAGTCCATAAGCAGATTAACTGAAACAACCTTTGCTTTTATAAAGTGTTGAAGAAATAGTTAATTTAATTTTTGCCCGCTTGGCACTAGTATTTTGTCCACGAAGTTCTCAAAACATATCACAGATTTGCATACTCTATTTTCATGGCTGTAATACTCTGCAAAATTCAATCTCCGCACGCACTGTAATCGGAGAGAGAGAGAGAAAGAGAGAGTGTGCTTTTGCACTGCTAGAGATTGCCAAAGCTTTTTACATGTCATGTAAAAACTTACATATACATAAAATTTACATTGCGCGATCGTTAATAGTTAGTTATATAGTTAATTAAAATATAAAATACAATTTATACAAACTAATTTATAAATTATAAAAAAGAGAAAATTAAATAAATTAAAATTTTTTTTTTGTATAAATTCAGATAAAATCATATACAAATTATTTTCTTAATTACAACGTACTGTTGCCTTAGCCTACATAACTGCATCTGTCGATATGCGTACTGAAATGGTGGGTGGCTACGCACCACCCACTCTGCTGCGCTGTGTAAACACACACTGCAACAGTTGTTCTAATTTGGCGCCAAAAATAGCAGAGAACGTAAACAAAAGTATAGCAAAATAAAAAAAAAAACACTCAAGCTGAAAGCTCGCTCTTACACTCGTTCTTCCTCTCTCTGTCTCTCCCTCTCTCATCGTAGCAAACGCACGTACGTGTGCTGCAGGATGTAGGTCAAACACTGCGTATGAGTGATATGGCGGAGGCAACAGAATTTCGCTTTTACCTTGCCGCATTTCAGTTGTGCGAGGCGCGTACAACCGTCAACTCCTTTTGCGGAAAATGTGAGATCCACAAAGCGAAGGCATTTCTTTTGCTGCTCTTAAGGAAATTCGCGCGCGACTTTTACCGAATCAATACTGCGACTTGTGTGCTGTGTGCTGTGCCGGGCCCAAAGAACAATTGGAATTTATTTTTGGCAACCCATTGACATTGGTTTACACATTGGCCGACAGCAGCCGCATAGGCACAGGCAAGTGACTCTCGTACTGGGCGCAGGCGAGGGACAGAGTCAGCATTAAAAATGCAAAGGTCCTAAGTGGGGTACACAGAGTGGGTCCCACCTGCGAAAAGGTCTCTCGCACTTATCGCGTCTCCAGAGACACTCGCATCTCATCGGTTTCATCCGAGGCGAATACTGTGTCCGTTTGCCATTGAAATTACACACATGCCATGTACCATAGTACCACAGAGAAAAAGTAAAGCTGTAACGCAATGTCAAGTGACAGAATGAGCTGTCAGCTAGCAGCTAGCAGCAGCAGCACGACAAAGTAGGCATTTGAAATATTTATGAAAGCAGCGCATTTCCATGAATCCTTCAACATTTTTGTTGCTTCTATTTCTGCGGTTGTTTTTTCCCACCCGTTTACTTTCTCCTGGTGGCAAGTGTCCCTGTCTACGTCGCACCCAACATCAAGGGTAATTAAAATGTGGACACATTAGGGCGACTCGGGGACTGGTGGTTGGCCACAAAACAAAAGACCTCCCAGCCAGCCACCAGCAGAGACTCCTGCTACTGCTGCTGCTGCTGCTCCTTAAAGCTGGGTGACAAGTAGAGTTGAAAAATAAGTTTAGTGTTCGAGTTTGGCTAAAGTTTTTCCTCTAAAAGCATGTGAAAGGGGAAATGTGCGACTTTTTTTTTAAACTATACGTTGACAGACAGAGGGGAGAGCATGATAGGTAGTTTCGAAACAAATGGTAGCCTTGTTATGCGCTTGAAGAGAAATATTTAAGCTGGAAAACTTTCAAGTGAAACTATGCAAAAATGTGCAGCAATGTTTGAACAATGGATATCAGACCCTCAAGAGGAAAAAAAGGACTTATAACAATAAGAAGTTAAAGCTAGGGGAATGTTTAGTTAATGGATTACATCATGTACGAAGCATGCTCCAATACATATACATAGTTTCAGCCATTTATTTCCCAAAACATGCCATACTGTTAACTGATTCTTAGCTACAAAGAATTTCCGGAGTCTTACTAAAACAATACCAAAATGTAAACCCATCTTGAACGGGCCAAAAACTATTAATAGTAAAAGAAAGTAATTGCATATTTACGAGTATATTTTCCCCTTTAAAAAAAGAATCCAACATGGCAATCGTTGACCCCACTGAACTACCTTAATGATGTTCCTGCCAGGGTTCCTTTTCTTTTCTTGTGCTGCCTCAATCAACAATTTCCGTGCGTGTTACCCTATTTCGGTATTTTGTGCTGAGACTGTGCTGTCGGCATTTCAGGGGCAATAACCAACACACAAAAAGAAAAGAAATATATCCCCCCCGCCCAACTTGTGTATAATTCATAAGGCCAGAGACATGCCCTTCCCTTCCATTTGTACTTCTGGTCAGTGGAGTACGGCCAATGTCAAGTTTGGTTTTGGACTGATATCAAAACCCAATAATGGCACTGGGCTATGGTTATGGGCCCACTCGAATGAACGGAAAAACTTAATGGGAAAAACTCTGTGTGTGTGTGTGTGTGCAAGTGGCAAAACTTTCATTTTCATTTGCAGTCTAGTGTGTGTGTGCTGTATGGGGCTGCTATTAGAGTTATTTTATATGTATCCCTGCGGCCATTTTACGTTAACATCATCTGCATACTCGTATGTGAACACACATATAACAACCTTGCTAAGAGTCCTTAGCACACGTGTGTCTCAGTATTCAGGCAAAAAGGTGCACAAAGTAAACTTTTGACATGCCAGGCCGGCCCGAGCGGGTTTTCCTTTTTTTTTTTTTTTAGACCTTTGGGGAGTCGCCAGACATTTTTGAAGTCAGCGCCCCTTCAAATGGCTGAAACGTGCTCAGCTGTGATTCATCCATTTACGAGTAAAATTAAAGTTCTCTCCCATAGCGCTGGCCTCTGGCAACTACAGTGAAAATCGTATTCAATTATTTACTCAGTCGATAATGAATCTTAGATGTAGAACATCTCGAAATCAATGAAACGCACATCTTAGAATCAAACTCTTTGCTCAAGAATTTTTCTTATTGAATTACCCAGCTGACAAGGCCCAGAATTACCCCTTGAATTCAATTTAATTCTGACCTCATTTAATGCTCTTCACTGTGTGTATCCAAAGCACATTTGCCTGCAATCAATGATGCTTCTTCGGTGCTGCCGCCGCTGCTAAGACACCTTCGGTGGGGTCAGGGTACGGTGTCAGATGCCTGCCTGCCATGTTCCCCCTGACTTGCGTTTAGTTACGACTTGCTCCATAAATCAAAGGCAAAGTGACGCAACTTTCTTGCAACATCCAATGATGCTACGGAAAAAACTAAACAGAAAGAAAGACAGAAAAAATTTCCAATTTGTTTACATTGTTCGCTCAATAAAACCAAGGCGGCGTTGTCGTCAGCGAAACCCCGTTGATGATGGGCTGGAAATTGTCACAGTTTAGTTTTGAATAAAGTTCAATAGTAGGGTCATAAAGAAACGACAGCCACACCCACTGAAGTGTGCTCAAAAGTTCCAAGTCCTGCACCAAGTAAAATCAAAGTTGGCTAAATAAAATATTTATAGAGCAATTAACTGCAGACGCAAAGGAGACACCAAAAAGGATGTAGCATGTTCACAAATTTCCCTCAGGCTTACAATGTTGTCATTAACAATTGAAACCGAGTTTCCGTTGATCCGGGATTGGGGAACAGCTAAGGATAAGCCACGGATGCGGATAATTGACAAGGACCCGCATCCGACCATCCATGGCTGCAATGCACACCGCGCCGTCCTCTTTTGCTGCCTTGCATTTCATGTCCTGCAGCCAGACAATGTCTGTGTATGTATTTATGTATGTGTGTATATGTGTGTGTGCAGGTGGCTGGTTGGATGGGTTAACTGTTGTGAGTGTTGAGTGTGCTGAAGGCCATGATACTCAGCATACACTTTTTCCTGCTAAGAGCTTGTTTGCTATTGATTTGCTCTTTTCATGTACGATACTGCTCAAGTGCAAAGGTATACGCGTAATTTATTGGTATTTATGCTAGTAAAAAGGTGAGTGAAACGCTCCAACAAAGACTGTGGTAATGCCCCCAGTACAGCAGAGAAAGTTTTTCATTTTTACCCTCATAAAAACACTAAAACATCTGTGTAGGGATACATAATTTCCAATTTATGAGGCTTGGCAGTTAAATGTACATGCCCAGAGAAAATACCTGAAATTTTAATATTTAAACTTACATTTAAAAATGTACATACACACCAATAAATTTTGCTAGAAGAATAGAAACTGTTAAAATAAATTGGGTTTCCCTTACATCCCTTACATATTAATATGAACACATTTTTTTATATTTAGACTAAATATATTTCCTCAAATTTATATTTGTTTTTTTTTTTTAGCTTAAGTCTTGTCAATTTTATTTAACTTAACTTTAAGTTAAAAAAAATTAATATTTCATTTAAATAAAGTTGTAAAATCAAAAGACTTTGCCATCTACCTCTGAGTGAATCTACTTAAAATTATATCGATAGGAGACTTATTACAAAAGGCATACAAAAAACTATGTTTCCATGTCAAACGAAATTAGTTCTTATTCTAACGTGTTCATAATGTGTTATATGTGTCATATTATGTTAAACGATATGTAATTCTCTCCTTTTGAATATTAAATGCATAATTTGCAGCGTAGACGCTGCCTAGGGCCGAGCTCCTGCTTGCCATAAATTGAGTTTTATTACAAAATTTTGGTTCAACCCGTTACGCAATCTATGAACATATATTTCTATTGCTTTTTTAGGGCATCTCTTTTAGTCGAAATGTCGACCACATCGACCACACTTACTTGTTCTGTGGCATATTGTATCCCTTTCACTTGGACCCTGCCACTATCATTCCCTCTCTGTGTACCTTTCGATTTCCCATTGAAGCATTAAAAATACATGTGCTACGATTATTACACATACGTCATGTTGTACACTCCATTTGATATTTATGAAAAAGTGCAAACGAGAGAGAGAGAGTGAGAGAATTACCAAAAAAAAAAAGAAGGTGCCGCCTAATCCTTATTCATGAGTGCACACAGACCTGGGAATTAGTAAGGAATTAGTGTGCGTCAGCGGACCCGCACACTATGCCGCAACAGTGACTCTAAAACTGCTGCCTAATTACACGAAACACAACAACACAAAGATTCCATCTCAATTTGTAAGTGAGTCAGCCCAGAAAGAAACCCAGAAGCCAGAGAACAATTACAACACTACTTGACCCAGGACTCAAGCTAGGCATGCAAATCCCATTACACTGTCAAACAAAAGATAGCCAGGCGCACAACCAAACAAACAAAAGAATGACTTGCTCTCCATTTGTGGCGTTTGTACTTTGATTCCATAATTAATTGTTGGTAATGATAATGATGATGGTCCTTGTGGTCGCCCGCAACCAGGCTGCACAGTGATGCCCAGGCCACTGCTGGGGCTTTCATGGCGCCAACAAGCTGTCTGTCACCCTCCACTGTAAATCCGCACTGGCAGGCACTCCACTGCCTGTGTGTGGCGTCGTGTGGCTTTTGTGGCGAAGCTTTCACACAAATGGCGAAGAGCTTTCACTCAAAACTCAAACTGCCGCCTCTGGTGTGCTGTTGTGGCTGGTGCTCTGGTGCTCTGGCGCGAATGATGTGATGATGCTCAGCGAAATTGAATTCAATTCGAAAACGCCGCTCACAATGAAAAGTCGCTGAAAATCGCACGGGACAGACAGTTGTAAAATTGAAAATAAATTGAGTGTGGCAATCAGGTCCATAAAGATTTCAGTTGATTTTTGTTTGGGTGCGTAAAAACAAAGTTTTTGCTTCTTGCCTTTTGTATTTTTGGTTGTGTAATAAGAATCCGGTTTTGTTTCCAAAAAAATGTTTGTGTTGTTTTAATGTAAATTAGAAGTTGATAAAAATATACAATAATTTGTTTGCGATAGCGGCAACTACACACATACATACTTATATGTATGTACATATAGTAGAGAGGGGAATTCGTTATGCCCTGCCCCTGTATTCGAATATATGCAAATGTTGGATATATTTATTTTCTTTTCGGTTCGGTTTCGTTTCGTTTTCGGTTTTTGTGTGTGAATTTTTAATAAAAGAATTTTTGCTACGCAAAGAGAGATATGGCTATATAGTATATGGGATATTCTCGTTCATAGATAAATGCATAAATTTCGACAAAAATTGCAATTGGAAAGGGTGGCTGGAAAAATGAAAAAAAAACAAACAAGACAATAACATGAAAATTATTGAAATATGTGCGGGTGCTTGAATATTTTTAGCAGCAGTGAAAAACAGAAAATTTAAGAATACAAATTTTAAAAAAGTGAAACAATATAGCCGAAAGCAACAGCATTAAATCAATTGTTATTTATTTATTGCATTACATTTATCGGTTCCATCACGCAATTTGTTTAATTGAGCACCGAATCTTTGTTTCAGATGCACACATAAATTTATTTTCCAATTATAAAAGATCATAAATAACTTAAACATATAGAAAAGACACACACACACACAAACAAATTAAAACACCCCTCAACAACGACTGTGAATGCGAACAACACCCCCAATCAAAGAGCCACAACGATGAGGTGATGCAACAATTAATTGAAATTATTTATTTATTTATCATTTATTTATGCGCCTTTCATACCAAGCACATGGTTACACAGCCACACACACACACTCACACTCAAACTCAATCGTACATTTGTTTCATATAAAGAATCAGCATTAACATCAACAAAATATCCACGACAACGACGACGACGACGTCATCAGTAAGAAACCTGAACGGCAAGCGAAATTTCAGCTGTGTACAAAAAAATAAGCTGCCTATTAGGAACTTAAAGTCTGTAGTTCAGACTAAAAGATACCCAGGTACTGGTACTCAAAAGAACAGACTGCAATATGTCTGAACATAATAAAGAAAACTATCCAAAAAACACTTTCTCCAAAGTATTATAGACATTTTTTATGAGATAAAAACTTCCTTCTGCCTGTGATAAACATCATATACAATATTCCCCTCGCTCCCTACGATTACTGGGTAAAAACACAACATTTTCGGTTCAAGTTCTTGGCAATTGGCAGTCTCGTCCCGCCAATGCCAAGGCAGACAGCTTTGGGCTCGACTTGAAATCACTCTCTGTGGCTCATGCTGTATTGGCTCTCTCCCAGTTGCCTCTTCTGTCTCTTTACTGTGGGTATTTTTTAAGGCCTTATGTGTGGAATGATGGGTGTGGGGGATATTCAACAGGTGCACAGCACAGAGCAATTCCCCATTGCCCTCCCGACTGTCAACAGTTAAAAGTTTAATGTTAGCAACACTCGAAATTAGCTCTCACTTTGTAACCAAAGCTGGGAAGCACTGCCTGCCCTGCCCTGCCCTGTCCTGCCCTGACCTTCGACTCGTCTCGCTAAAAAGCCCTCAAAGAATTTAGCTTAGTGAAAATTTTTGGTTTTTCTTCGGTTGTTTACGGCAAACAAAGCGTTAAACAGCAGCGTAAAACAATGTTTTGAGAGTGGAAACAAAAGCGCTCGGAAAAGTTTCCGTTTGGCAGCAGATTATTCGAGTCAAGGCTAAGCATAAAATGTATAGCAACAAGCGCGATGGAAATTACAGCAATACTCGTATTATAATGAGTCCCCAAAGCCCACACATAAAGGGAGCATGAAAGGAAGGTAAACACAGGAGACGTGCTGGAATTGTTTCTGGGAAAATTTGAATAAAGTCAACAGCTGCCAAAAGCGCTGAATAATTAAATGGGAAACAGCATAAAAAACCCAGAAAATAACAGAAATGTTTGCGCGAAAGAATAAATACACAGAGAAATTATGTGAACATAATTTAATGAAAATAAACAATTTAGAAATTCAAATGTGCTTTGATTCACATAATTTAAAATATTAAAGACCATTTAAAGACTCGATTTTTTTGTACATTTTTCCTTATAAAAATTAACTGATAGAATGAAGAATTTTGCCAATCAAATCTACACAAAAAAACATTTTTTAATCAGTTGCTTCAACTAATATTTTCCAATTATAATTGGATATGATAATTATCATTATTTTGTTATTTTATGCTTAGTTTTTTGCCTAGTTATTTTTCTTTTTGGCACAAACTGTTCTAGAAACTTGATTTACCCCTCTGCTAAAATGAAAGTAATTTCAATGGCCCACACACTCAACAGGTAACCCCCCGCAGTGGGTGGCCAAATACACTCCAGAAAACTCGTAAAACTGTGTCAATTCACCTCACCCACATTCGTGCGCGTAGTGTGAGTAATACTCAGGGGGGGTCTATTAAAGAAATTAAGCTACGTAAACAAAAGGAAAAACGAAAGCAACAACAAATACAGATACAAACAAAATACAGCCAAGTGCCCCATAAATGTTATTGTACGTATATATATGTATATGTATATGTATATGTAATCTACTATATAGTATAGAGAGCTCGTGGAGGCATTCCAAGATCACATTTCTAGCTGGTAGTATGACATCATCATCGTCATCATCATCATCGCCATTCGATGCCGTCGGCATCTTAGCCGGCAAATGCTAATGAATCAGCTGCCCGTCGCACACATTCTGAGAGCTTTACAATCGGAAATATCTGGTAAACATTAATAAAATTCTAATGAAAATCTCTCTTCCTCTCTCTTTCCCTCTTTGTAGCGATAACATCCCCTCTGTGCCCTTGGCTGAGTTTATAGAACCGCCAAATCCAACTGAAGACGAACCATTCGTACCCCTGGCCGAGCCCAGAAAAATGAACGATATGCCTGTGGCAGCGGCTGCCACGCCCACGCCCACCAACGCCACCACACCCATCAGCAATGGTACGCCCACGCAGACTGCAGCAGCAACTGCAACGACAGCTGTGGCCCCCAGCAGTAGCAGCAGTAGCAGCAGCAGCGAGAACAGCATCTTCTCCATTGCGAATGCGGCGGGCAAGAAGGTGGCCATTGTGGTTTCCATCTATATGGTGGGCTACATGGGCTGGTCGGTGGCATGGCTGATAGCGCCGGTCATACTGTCCTTGACACGCGATTATCTGGCCAGGACGTCGGCCAAGAAGCGGGACATAGCCAAGGCCTCGGCGCTGGCCTGCGAAAAGGATGTGATTCTGGCGCGCATTGACGAGCTGCCCGCTTGGGTTTACTTTCCCGATGTCGAGCGTTGCGAGTGGCTAAATAAGGTGCGTTTTGTCGGCTGGATAGTTTTTGTTGTTCACAGCTATTGACAGACATCCTCTTCCGCACAGATTTTGAAGCAGGTCTGGCCGAATGCCAATCACTTTGCCCGCACTCTGGTCAAGGAAACGATCGAACCGAATGTGGCCTTGGCTTTATCGAACTACAAAATGCACGGCTTTCGCTTTGATCGCATCATTCTGGGCACAATACCGCCGCGCATCGGCGGCGTTAAGATCTACGACAAGAATGTGGATCGGAATGAGATCATCATGGACCTGGATCTCTTTTATGCCAGCGATTGCGACATCAATTTCTATTTGGGTGGCATGAAGGGCGGCATCAAGGACTTCCAGATCCATGGTTGGGTGCGTGTCGTAATGAAGCCCCTGATCCGTTCGATGCCCCTGGTGGGCGGACTGCAGATCTTCTTTCTGAACAATCCCAATGTGGATTTCAATCTGGTGGGTTTCATCGATTTCATGGACATGCCGGGCATCAGTGATCTGCTGCGTAGGATCATTGTGGAGCAGATCGGCGCTGTGATGGTGCTGCCCAACAAGCTGCCCATTTCGCTCAGCGAAGAGGTATCCGCCGTGGCGCTCAAGATGCCCGAACCAGAGGTAAGGAATTTTCAACTCAAAAATTAAATAATAAATCGAATCATTTCTTAGGGCATACTGCGCATTCATGTGGTGGAGGCCAAGGATCTGATGAAGAAGGACATCAGTATGCTGGGCAAGGGTAAATCCGATCCCTATGCCATCATCAATGTGGGCGCCCAGGAGTTTAAGACGCAGATTATTGACAACAATGTCAATCCCAAGTGGGACTATTGGTGTGAGGTGCGTATGGGGGCGGGGAGTCGTCGTCGTCCTTGTTTTTTGTTACCCTCTCTCCCGCCCATAGAAACAAGTTTGTTGCATTGCTTTTTGTAGTTGTTGTCGATCGATTTGCTGCATGACATGTGCATACCCAACACACAATGCCACAATATTCTTGCGTAGTTTGTTGTTTGCTGTTTGTTATTGCCTTTTGTTATTTTCCATTTTGATTTTTTTCCATTCTTTTATCACTCGAAATACGTTTGCCTTTGCGTTGCGCCTGCACACAGGCAACAGTTTTTATTGAAATGGGTCAATTTGTCGAGATACAATTGAGGGACTCGGATGATTCCAAGAAAGACGAGAACCTGGGCAGGTAAGCAACCATTTTTTTGTTCTGTTACTTTAATGAGTTGAGTTATCATAATTTATGCCACACCCCTCCTCGTTTGAGAATGTGCCACCCCCGTGCCACCTCCCTTGCCCTCTGAGTGTGAGTAATGTTTGTTGTTGAATTGCCCTTGAAATGCTTGCATGCTGCATGTGTGTGTGTGTCCCAATGGAGAGTGGACAGAGCAGCAACTTCTGCCCTCTGCTTTTATATACTCTTTACTATACTCTATGACATACCTATGTATACTTACACACTCTTACACATATGTATGTATGTATTCTTCTAGGCGTGTATTTTTACCACCATAGGCCACTTAATTGGGTTTTCTTTGTGGGACTATGATCAGACAATGCCAGGTGTACAGAACGATGATATATTGGGCAGGTTGTATTTGACGCATGGAACTGCATTTCCTACACCATTTTGTTCTGTTCCGTTCTCTTTTGTTCTCTCTCTTACTCTCTCTCTCTCTTGAGTATTGTTGTGTTTCTTTTTGTTTATGTTCTGCCTGGATATACATACGTGCATACATATATTACATACTTATATATATACTACCACTAACCAGCACGCGCGGGAAACACCGAAGAGTGATGTGAGCCATCGACTGATGAGGCGGCGGTTTCCGTTGAAGGAAATGATGCACAGATGTGCAACCCAATTTGAGTTATTCATATGAACTTAATTTGTTCGATAGTGAATGTTTTTTTTTAATGCAATTTCTCTTGAAAAAAGAGTTTATTTTTATGCTGATTTTTTTTCAACAAAAGATTACAGAAATTAAACTTATAATACAATATTTAATTCACATCTATTCGAATTAGATTAAAAACGATGCGTAACGAGCTGAGCTAAATATTCTAGCTCTGAAAATAATTCCAACATAATTAAAACTCTGACTTTGACTCTGACTCTCAACCTATTAATTATTACCATAATTCTTTTCAAATTCTTAATAATTAACTTAGTAAAGAGCGGTATAAAATTGTCTTATTATTAATTAATTAATTACTAATTATTACCATAATTCTTTTATAATTCTCAAGAATTAACTTAGGAAAGAGGAGCATAAAACTATCTTAAATCTTAAACTTAAATAGATTTAAATTTTGTATTCCACTACACTTGAACGCACAATTGAACAATCAATCACTGCAGCGGAAACTGCAATATCCGATATATACCCATACAATATTGAACACTCTCACAAAACAGACTTCAAGTAACTGCAACTCGCATTCTAACTAAAAATAAAACTACTCGTATCTGCATGCCCTTTGACACCATACGAACCACGTGCAGCCGCAGCTGGAGCACCTTGTACCACACAGACACACTCTACCTACCCAACAACAAACCAACAAAAAAAAAAAACCCCCACGAGACACGGATATGAACACCCCCTCACCCCAAAAAAACACCCTGACCTGAAAGCATGCCTTTGACTAATTTTGTAGCTAGATCCGCCAGATATCCGCCTGTACATATACCAAACCCCGTTCTGTAGAGTTGCGCTGGAATTAACCTCCCCCATATTAATGCGATACAAAAATGTCTTTTACATTTGCTTTTTTGTTCGAACGTGCGAACGGGCGGCAGGCTGTGGTCGAGGTCTCGCAGCATGCCATACTCGTGCTCAGACTCTTTGACTGGGACCGCACCAGTGATGACGAGTCGCTCGGCAGGTTAGGCAAACCCATTGATTGATTGATACCCATACCCGAATGAGTACACAACACACTGAAACCAAAACCCCAAAATACGAACAGTAAATCAGCACAAGAATACAGAAAACAGTTTGATTTGAAGGGGGGACACTTTCGGAACCCCGCCATGACCCGCCATGAATTTAACCCAAAAATGTGTTTTCGTTTCATTTCATTTGCTTTCTTTATGCATATTTAATTTTCGTTAAACTAATTCGCATTATTATTGAATCGAAAACAGAGCCAGCATCGATATAGCCAGCGTGATCAAGAAAGGCGTTGTGGATAGCGTGAGTAGAGCCGGAAAGAAAAATTATGCCTCGAATAATAATACCCGCCGAAACTATCCCGATACAGTGGCTCACCCTGGAGGATGCCAAGCACGGTCTGCTGCATGTGCGCTTGCAGTGGTACAAACTCACCGCGGATCCAAATGATCTGCAGCAGATTCTACTGGAAACGCAGCTGCTGCGCGTTACCACCATGAGCTCGGCAGTGCTCAGCGTTTTCATTGACTCGGCCAGGCATCTCAAGGTGAGACAGATAGACAGAGAGCCAGAGACTCTCTCTCATATCTCATATGTTTTACCCACAGCAAGCGCGATCCAGCTCGAAGCCCGATCCCTATCTGGTGTGCAGCCTCAACAAGCAGAAGCAGCAAACGGCCATGATCATGAGGGATGATTCGCCCGTCTGGGAGCAGGGCTTCACCTTTCTGGTCAGCAATCCGGACAACGAGAGTCTGAACATCAAGATCTATGATCAGAAGACGGGCAACGATATCGGACAATACACTTACACGCTGAGTACCCTGCTCAAGCAGTTCAACATGGAGGTGATCCAGCAGCCCTTCCAACTCCAAAAGTCTGGCCCTGAATCCAAGCTCTATATGTCGCTTTCGATGCGCATATTGAAACCGGGCGAAATTGACAAGGAATCCGATGCAATCGAGCAGGTGGCGGCCCTCACACGCAGCAGTTCTGTCAAGACGCCCGATTTGACTGTGGTGGCACCACCAGCCTTCAAGGTGGGTCACAGTCATCATGCGAGTTGCCACACTCATCGCTTAACGCTCCCTTCCACTCCCCCATGCAGGATAGCCAAGCAGCCAACAAACGCCAGTCCACAGAGTCACCCATCAGTGAGGAGGAGCTGACAGTGCCCACGAAAATCTCACCGGCCATGTCTGCCTCCACATCCAGCGAGAAGCCGATTAGCGAGCTGGCCGCCTCCGTATTGACCCATCGCTTTCCCGAGACGAGCTCCACGGCGGGCGAGCACGGCCTCGGACGCATTCAGATGTCCATTCGCTACAGTGCCCAGAGGCAGAAGCTCGACGTGACCCTACACAAGATCGTTAAGATACCGCTGCGCGACCCCAGCAGCATACCTGATCCGTATGTGAAGCTGTATCTGCTGCCAGGGCGCACCAAGGAGTCCAAACGTAAGACGGGCGTGATCAAGGACAACTGCAATCCGGTCTACGACGCCTCGTTCGAGTACCTGATTTCCATAGCAGAGCTCAGGCAGACAGAGCTCGAGGTGACGGTGTGTACACAGAAGGGTTTTCTGTCCGGCGGCAGTCCCATTATTGGCATGGTAAGAACCGACAACCAGGAACCCACCCCAAAGGGAACCACGCCACGAATGCAGCCGCACTGCATTTGTCGTGCAATTCCCAAGTGCATTTTCCGAACTCGCTCTGTATATATAGGAGATTTTTGTGTCTACCTTCGTTCTTGCTTCGGCAGAACATATACTAAAATTGGAACGATACAGAGAAGATTAGCATGGCCCCTGCGCAAGGATGACACGCAAAATCGTGAAGCGTTCCACATTTTTTTGCTGCTTGCATTCTGTGAACTGGAATTTCCTTTTATCTTTTCAGCTGAAAATACCTCTGGACGACAGTGAGATTACGACACCGGCGGGACTGAACACTTGGTTCGACTTGCAGCCCGAGATGCGGCACGAATGAAGTGTGGAAGCATCCGAGAATACGAAAGAGTCTCATCACACAAAACCAGCACCACAGTCAATCAAACTCAACAAGAACTAATCACTTTTTTACCCATCGCACTTGACGCCTTTTGTATTTGTTGTGTATAATTTATGTGTATAACGTTGGTCCCCTGGAGCCACTGAACCCAACCCGGAACCAAACTAAAATCTCTTAGTCGTGCCTCTATATTTATAACTATCAACTTATTGTAGTCAAATAAATCGAACTGTGTTTTCAACAAAGCATTTGTGGTATATACTTTTAATGTGCAAATTTAAATTTAAATATTTCCAGATGGTTCACAAAGGATACTTCCATTATTAATTTATTTTTCATTTTCGAACCATTAAGATATTTATTTAATTTTTTCTATAACAAAAATATTGATTACTATTTTCGGAAAACGTATACCTAAAGTTTAAATATAAGTGTCGGTTGTGGCAAGAGGCCAAGCGAACGCTCAAAGGACACACATCTTGCCTCTCAACAAGGACATTTTTTGCAGCTCCTTGCAATTCCCAAGTGCATTTTCCTAACTTGCTCTGTATATATACGAGATTTTTGTGTCTACCTTCGTTCTTGCTTCGGCAGAACATATACTAAAATTGGAACGATACAGAGAAGATTAGCATGGCCCCTGCGCAAGGATGACACGCAAAATCGTGAAGCGTTCCACATTTTTTTGCGCTCCCTGAGTTGGAATATCCTGTTGCTTTTTATAGCTTCAAGGATGAGACATTTATGTACATATGTATGTATGTATATATGTGGACCTACCACATCCAGTGAAATGAGAGGGGAGGGAAGGAAATGAAGGTGGCAAAATATTTAATAGAAATTAAGCAATGGCTGTATTGGACGTTGCTTTAAAAATTTATTTTATTAAAATAAAACACCATTCTACCAAAGACAATATAAGTATAAGATGCGGAACGCTCATACATTTCAATTGCCATATGCAAGACAATTTTTCGGCCAGCGACGAAATTCGCGCCATCTCGCTCGCACAAATTTGAGAGCGTACGAATCTAAAAATAGAATCCGCTTGCATGTGTAAGTACACACAGAACAGCAAGTGCGTATGTGTGCGTACTTGTGCTAAGCGGACGATTTTCGAGACGGAAACCTTTTTATGAGTTGAGAAACGAAATTATATACCGACGTTGAATACGTCGCATCCTGAATACCCTAATGAAAATTATTCCAATGTGAAGTCATGTATTAAATATATATTACATATGTATTTGTATATATGTATGTATATCCGATCATTATTATCGAATATACCATCTGAAAAGAAATTATCATTGGAGGGATATATACATATAATACATATATGAGTTTTTTAATATTGGGGTGGTAAGCGTCCTGCAAAATTAACTTACACTTATAAAGTGAAGGGTATATTTCGACAGCGCTGTAAAAAATGTATGCATGTGCACACATACAGTCGTCGCGACGACTCGGCTCGGCTTTCGCATCGGCAAAGAACTAACTTCGTGTGCCTTCGTATGCTGTATGCATACAAGAGAGCGGCTGGCTCTAGATCGCTCTCTCTCTAAAAAATTTCAAGAGAGCCTGGAGCCAGCTCTAGAGCCAGCATTGAAAATTCGTGTGCAGAAATTTCGTATGGCGTTACGCATCTTATACTTATATTGTCTTTGATTCTACATAAATATTGCTGCCAATGAATGATGGTTCGAATCCCACGAATGACGATACATTTTCCTTAACTTTCCAAATCCAGAAGAACTTTTTTCTTTTCTTTTTCTTGTAGAATAATAATATAAACATTTTTTTTTATAAATTATTTGTTTTTTAATAATATAAAAATAATAAACTTTGTCATACTCGTGCTTGTTGCTTCTGCCGCTCAAAAGCATTGACAAACAGACGCTAGATGGCGACACTCAACTTTGCTTACAGCGGGTATGAAAAACAGATGGCGTTTGTATTTGTTGGGCATTGCTAATAATTCCCAAGTACCTTTTCGTCACTTGTTCAGTATATATAGGGGATTTTTCGGTCTAACCTCGTTCTTGCTTCGGCAGAACATATACTAAAATTGGAACGATACAGAGAAGATTAGCATGGCCCCTGCGCAAGGATGACACGCAAAATCGTGAAGCGTTCCACATTTTTTTGCCCATATGACGACGGGTGGAAAAGTAAAAACTGATGTTCATAGGGTTTTTGCTGCGTTCTCGGCATTTTTTTTATTTTATTAATTTTCGTCAATTTGGTATGTATTTTGAAAGTGTATATATATATGTATATATAGTATAGACAATTGGTTTTGTTTTAACACACATACACATCCAACTTTTGTTTATTTAGACATAAAATATATGTTTTTCGTTTTCTTTGAATCTTTGCTTAATGCATATGCATACAAAATTTGCAATTTTCAACACAGTTTTTGTTTTTCATCATTGTTTAGCAATATATATATAGTTATTCTGTCTGTATGAAAATTTCTATAATTTAGATCAATCAATATTTATTTTGTTTTTGTTTTTGTTTTGGTTCCTGGTACTGCTGCCAACGATTTCTTTTGAGAGTTTCGTTGTCTGAATCGAACGTCTTCTGCCTCATCAAGTGTATCATTTATTCGGCTTGCCGATGAACTTATATAATTGAATTTCAATTTGTTGTTTCTTTTGTTGTTTCGTATTATACCTAATGTTAATTTATTTGAAAATACATAATAATGCACATTTATATATGTAATATACATCTATGCTTTAAATGGACACTTGAATCAGGCTCTTGGTTTAATTTATGTATATATAATTTGTTTCCCAAATTACTATTTTTTTTTAAGCTGCATTAACGATTCGTTACCGAATCTGAAACTATAATTTGCATTGTTCTTCTTCATTCAACTTTGTTTTTTTTCATTTTTGTTTTGAGGTAGTAGTTCGCTTAGTTTCGTTATTTTATTTTATTTTATTTTATGTAAAAGTTGGTTGTTTCTCTGAAGCACATTTATATAAAGCACACACATTTACAATAACCGTAACATTTATGTACATTTAAGTTATACATATATATTTATATATATATATATATGTATATAACTATGTATATATTTAATATGTTAAGTATACAATATTAAACACTGAGGAACTGTCGTGCTTATTTCAATGCTCCAATTGCCTTGAATTCTTTGTTACTTTACACTCGGTATCGTATGTATATCTGTATCTGTACTTTTTGGACAAAGACAAACCTAAGATCTAAGCAACGTACATATATACCATATATATCTCTATATTGTAGTTTATATAACTTTGCTTGCGCTTGTACTTTGTGTGTGTGTGTGTGTATGAGTGTATATGTGTGTGGATCCACCATCCCACAATCGCTTTAATTCCTAATTATTTTTTTTGTTTAATTTTGAATTCTTATCACTTATGTAATGAGGTTAAGCTCCTAAAAACATGACATTTGAAAACCCTAGAAAACTGATGGCCAATTTAGTAATTTTTTGTTTTGTTTTGTTGTTGTTGTTAATTTATGTGCGCATATTTGTTGTTTCTTTTATTTTGTTTCTGTTTTAATTTTGTTAAGCCTAGTTTAACAGCTACAATTTGTTTTTTCCACGTGTTCATCGCTCTGGGGTGATACGAGTACCTAAGTTCTAAGTTTTTAACTTTAATCACTTTGTAATTTGTATTTTCGTTCTTATTTCTCATTCTCATTTCGCATTCACATGCCGCCTCGATCCGTTTCCCATTTCCCTCAGTTAGAATGTAGTTTGATTATTCTTTTTGATATCAACTGAACACAACTCGTTAAGCAACAAATAGCAGTTTGAAAAACTGCTACGAATAGTACGAATAGTAGAAATTATAGAACCCAAAGTGCGAGGAACCCGCCTCCGAAAAAACCGCACAACAAAGATCTGAATACAAATATCACAAAATTAGCATCGAAGCAGAGCAAAAGTATTCATAATAATAATAATAAAAAATATAGTAAAAAGAATTAATAATAAAACTCAAAATAAGATTACGTTTTTGTTTGGTGTTTTTTTTTTCTCTTTTCTTTATATGGTTTCTCTTTTTTGTGTATTTTTATAAAAATTAATTTTGGAAGAAGCCCGCGAAATGGGGGTTGAGGGGTGTAAATCAAATTAAATTGAAACTTGATAAATGAACTCTCACGTGTGTGAGAAGGCTGCCTAATGATTAATCTTGTAATTGAAGGTATATGGATAATAGAAAAAACTTAAGACTATATATTTCATTCTCAGGTTTATGGTTTGAATCTGAAACCTAGAGTTTTAACATCAGGAAAATAAAAGCATAAAAGGAAAATTAAAATTATATCACCACGCATATGTATATAGTATATATGTATATGTTTACAGTATAGTTATTATATAGTATTTATATAAGTAAATTAATCAAGTTTCTCAAAACATATGTATATGTTATGTTATCCATCAATTGGAATCAATCAAAATTGCATTAACAAAATGACATAAAAACTTAAAAACTGACAACCTAGGACCAGTAAATATATTAATATTAAATTGAATATTGTGTGTGGGGTTGGGGGGGAACCAAAAACAATTAGGATTACCGATAAGTGTTATTCATGTATGTTTTAAATAAAAGCTCTTTCTCCACAATCAGAAAACCTAAGACTAAAACAGTGAACCAAATTAGTTAGATATACATACATTGATTATAGCAAAATGTAAAACTTAAACAATTAAATCGCAGTTGTATATAAACCTATTCATATATGATTTATAGCATTATTTTTCATTAGAAACTGTTTATCCATTCCTATCCATCTTCCCTTATGCGCTAAGCAGGTAAAACTGGTAGCGATTCACTTGCTCTACTTTCTTCCCTATTCCTTTTTCTCATTCCTGGACATTTTTTTCATCTTTCCTTAACAAAACTTAAAAGCTAAACAACATTTCGTATTTGTAGTATTTTCTTTCATTTTCTTTCTTAGTGTTTTTTTGCTTTTTGTTTTGTTTTTGTTTGTGGTTGCCTCTTTCTTTTCGGGTTTTTGTTTTGTTTTGTTTCGTTTCGTTAATGTTTCATTTTCAAAAGGAATTTTGTGTTTCTTTTGTTTTTGTTTTTTTTTTTGGCTCTGGTTCTTCGGTTTTTACGGCTTCATCTGCATACCATACAAAACATACGAAAGCCCAGGCTCTTTAAATCACAGTTATATATCGGTTATCAATATTATATCACTCCAGCAGAACATTATCAAAAAAAAAAAACAACATAAAAAACAACTTTTTTATTTGTTTTTTGAGAAGAGTTTTTTTTGGGGGGCTGGGGGGAGATTTACAGCCAGGATATGGGCCATCCTGAGTTCTCTTATTGGTTCTTGACTGGTGGTTTCTGAAATCCAATTATCATCCTGCCACAAAATTAGTTTTATCTGCGGCATCTCTCCCTCTCTACATCTCTAATTTTGCGTAAGACTATTCTATTCTTGATGGGCGGTTCGTTAGCTTTTAATCTGTTTCGGTTTTTGGTCTATGATGATTTACGCAAATCCTCCAGCCCGCCATTGTGCAAGCCGCCGCGCATATTCTCCAGCACTTTGTTCACGAAATCCGTTGAGCCGCCAGCAATGCAAACTCCAGCTAAAGAAAACAAAAAAAAAAATACAATTATTAATCATGCGGTTAATTATAAGAGAATTCAAACGTTGAGTAATTACTTTTGGCCGTTGTATAAATGCGTGCAATCTGCAGATCCACCTCCTCCGTGGGCTCGCCCAGACTTTTGGTACGATGCTTGAGGGCCAAGGCCTGCTTAAGCTCGGCAATGCCATTGATGAGGCGCTCTAAAATAAGAGAAAATGTGGCATTAAAAATCGTTTAAAATATTTAAGGCATATTCACGTACTGTGTTCTATTTCAAGGCCATATAGCTTAATTTTGTTTGCCTCATGCTGGGCCTTCTTCTTCAGGCGACAGGCACGGGAGGCCAGCTTGTTCTTTTCCTTGCGCGACTTGGGACGCGAATTGAATGGCAGCTCCGAAACGGGGGTCATGTCATTGATGGTGCGACTCAGTTTGTCCAGCTCCTTGCCAATGTTGTGCAGTTTTCGGGCGTTCGGTGTGAGGTCATTGCCATCGCCCTTACGTGCCTTGCCGCTGTGCTGTTTTGGGGCAAAAAAGATAACAAAAAAAAACAGAGAAAATTAGTGTCTGATGCATTGTATTTCTATTTGTTCTATGGGTGGGGTGGGGTTGGATGGGTACCTTGTACACTTTTATGCCGCGCACAGAGCAGGTGGGACTGAAGACTGGATCTGTGACCTCGTTGAGACAATGCGGATCCTCGAGCTTGGATTGGAAGACCAAACGCTTGCCCTTGGGTCCCTTGGCCTGGACATTGTACTGCCAGAAGAAGCGCTCTTTGCCCTTGCTGCTGGACAATTGATTTGGCGTGGAGGTGCGTGTCTCGTCCTCGTCGCCAGATCCGCCACCATTGTCGCTGCTAAAGTCATCATAGTTGTCGCTATTCTCGCTCGAGTTGTCATCCTCATCGTCCTGCGAGAAATCAATGCCCTCCGGCGACAGGACACTGCCCGTGCTCAGCGATGAGAAGCTCTCGGCCTCGGCCAGCGAGCCGGTAGAGAGTAAATGCTGACGCGGCTCTCGTCGCATCCATATCTGCTCATTACCCAAATGGGTGGGCGCCGACGAGCTCAGTCGGCTCAGCTGCGAGCTGCTGCTGCTCTCCATGGAGCCACCCTGAAAGCCAAACGATTTGCGCACACTACTAGCCACTACGGCCGCCTGACTGCTGCTGCTGCTGCTGCTCGGACCATTGCCATCCGGTGCTGTGCTGTTACCGGAGGCGGCACTGCCAAAGCCACTGCTACCGCCCGGACTCAATGCGGCCGACTGGCTGTGCATCGAACGGTCCGGCGGCGAAGACATGGGAAAGCCCTTCTTGATGAGATCTTGCATGTTCCGCGACTTGACCATTTGGTACTGCGAGCGATTGGCATGCGGCGGCGGTGGTGGCGTCAATGGGGAGTGCGACGCCTGGCTGCCGGGTGAGAAGCTGGCCGCTAGCTGTTGCTGCGGCTTCTGTGGTGTGCTGTGATAGATCTCGTAGGGACTAGTGGAGGAACTGCTGTTCGACTGCTGCTGTTGCGTTTGTTGGGTCAGTGTGAGGAGCGTCTGCAATTGCGGCAGGCTGCCGACAATGAATTGCTGCTGCTGCTGCTGTTGTTGTTGTTGTTGCTGCTGCTGCTGCTGCTGCTGAAGCAGCTCCATGGGTGGTGCCACCAGCGAGTCCTGTCCCTGGGCACCCTGAGGGGACAGCATGAAATTGACACTCTGCGAGACTGTCGCCGGGGGCAGAAAGTCCTCTATGCTACCAATGACATCCAGAAAGTCACCGCCATTCAGATCGGCCAAATCGGCGGCCTGTATCTCAGCCTTGTCGTTGGGGAAAATGTAATCATCGTCTAGACTAAATGGTTCGTGTTTGGTATGGATAATGGCACTGCTGATATCACTCCACATGGCATTCGAATTGGGCGTCATCTCGTACAGCAGCTCATTCTGGCCCACTGCCTCCTGCAGCTGCAGCTCACTGACCACATTCAGGCTGAGTGTATGGCTCATATCGGGTGCAAAGTAACCGCCAGCCAGGCTACCGCCTCCACCCACACTGCTGCTGTTGCCATTGTACAGCGTGGAACTCAATGGCGAGGCGGCACTCAGACTAACATCCTGCAGCAATGTGGGCGACAGGGAGGCCGCATCCAGTGCATCCAATCCAAAATCGGATAGTTCTCCCAATGCCAAATGCGAGTGCTGTTGCTGCTGCAGCTGTTGATGGAGTTGCTGCTGCTGCGACTGCTGCTGTTGCTGCTGCTGCTGATGATGCTGCTGATGTTGCTGCTGCTGGTGCGTCATGCTGGGTAATGTATGCAACGGACTGGGATGGTGTCGCGGTGTCTGTAGATCCGTCTGCTGATACGGATGATGATGGCTCTGGTTGTGATTGTTGCTACGTGGTATGGTTATGGCCGTTGTACTAAGCATTACATTACAGGTATTTGTGGTGCTCGTCGAGCAGTTGCTGCCACTGACTCCTCCGTTGTTGCTGCTCCCATAGCCCGTATTAATGGTCAATGTGGGCAGGGCGGCACCCACAACGCTCGATCCCAATGAATATAGATCGTATTTCAGTGTATTGCTGCTGCTATTTGACCCAGTGTCAAAGAATTCCGATGACATGGGATACAGCTGATTCTCTGTCATCGTACGGCCCGAAAGGAAACTACTCTGCCGAGTGCTCCGCGAGGGGATTCTCCGGCTGTGCGCCGGCGCACTTTACGATGTCTGAAACGAGAGATAGAGAACGGTTCGGATCAGTAATAGCAGAGATAATTAAACGCATACATTATTATGAGTTTTATTATGCCCAGCCAGACAACCTTGGACCACCAGAGAGCGGGGCACTGGCACTGGCGCTAGCACTGGTTACTGGTCTGCCAACTGGCATTTCCATTTGGCATGGAAAATGCAACAACTTGTCGATTGATGCCCCAATTCTCTGTCTGCATTTGCTTAATGCTAATTCTTATGCAGCTGCTATCTATAGCCGGAACCAAGAGACATACTCCCATCAATATTATTCATCACTCAAGTGGGTAGGGTGCAATCTTTTGATACGACCAGCTGTTGGATTAGATTCAACTATCAACTAATGGAAACTCTTTGATAAGCTTCAATCAAGGTCAAAAGTAAGTATTTATTTTGGTTCACACCCAACCCCTACCATTCCACACATTTGAACTGAACGCACAAGTGACAGCTGCAAAAGAGAATGTGCTAGAACGGTACAAAAACAACATACATATCATGTGCATGATGCGGCACATTAAAGCTTGACTGCAGTTAAAAAGGGTTTCGTTTTAATTTTTTTTTCGACTGCTCCAAAATTTTAAAACAATTAAATTTTGTTTAGTTTAAAACAATTATTTTAAATTACTTCTCACCCCCAAAACGTCTAAAGATATTCATATTACGCCGCACCAATTCTGATAAATCTCGAATACTATATGCACTTTTCCAACTTTCCTACAAATTATAGTATTTTCTTTAGTCAACAAACTAATTTATATTTTAGTCATAGAACCAACACCATCGCCTCTTGGTCGAGGCCTTTCACCTAATCTCAAACCCAATAGTTTCCTCTCTCTTACTTGTTTCTTTTTTTCCGCTCTATTATTGTTGTTTATTTTTTTTCTTTTCTTCTTTTTTCTCGCTTTATTGTATTTTTTTAGTGGTTCTTGTTTTTTGGTCAAAACAAAATTGTTGATGATTTCTCTAAGGTTTTGTTTTCTCTATTTTGTTGTTCACAAAAAAAATCTGCAAAGTGTTGCGGAATGGGAATGGAAGAATGGAGAGGAGATTATATAGACGGGGCCTTTGACGTTGTTCTCTTATATTGTTTTTTTTGTTTTTGTTTTAAACAGCGATAACACACTAGCAAAAGCAACAAATTGTTGAGTAGGCTCTTGGATTGGCCAAAAGGAAAGAGAAAAAACTACAAATGTGCTTAATCAGCATATTGCTTTAATCTTTAGGGTTGTATATTTTTTTTTTTTTGCATGAAAGTATATTTTTATATCAGGTTTCCAAACTATAAAAGTTTTGGAACTACAGTGGAAGTGGGGGAAAGTTTTTGGGCACAGTCTGAAATGATTTCTTCAGTAGGCAAATTATTAAATTATAATTACTCCCCATTGAATGAATACTGACTGTGTTCAAGTGTTTTTCCTTCGAAAAAAAAAACGCTCTGCAATGAACTCTGTATCTGAGGTCCCCACCACATTTTGCTTATCTTTCATCCATTACAGACGATAAGTCAACACATTCCGGCTGATAGCGCCGCCTCTCGCTTCACGACCATTCCATTCCGATTTGAACTTTGTAACGCTCTCCTCCCCCCGCCCGGACCAAGTGAAGGTCACATGTTGGTAGGGGGAGGGAGCACTCACACATAAATGAATACAAAACCCACACATTGGCAGAATTCTACTTTAACTAAGTGATTGCCTCTGGTTTCTCTGGTTTTTTTTTATTTTTATTGTTGCTGCTTTACATTGTTGCCTATTGCTATTTCATTCTGAAATTGTTTAATATTCGTCAAAGGTTGTCGAACGCGCTGAAGGCCAAACAATACTCGTAAAAAAACAACACACATAGGAACCAAAATCTACCAAGTGGGGTGCTTATATACCAAATTAAATAAGAATCAAACATATGTATAGATAAACACACATACATACATATGTACATATGTACATAAGTAGAAATACAAGCGGAAAAGGAATACACAAAACAAAAAAAGAATTTATTACAAAAAACCAGAAAAAAAGAATCTTAAAAAAAGAAGACAAGCAAACATTTCAATTTGAGGCGAGTGAAGTGGGAAGAGAAACAACAAAAAACAACGCTAAGCAAGCATTTCTATATAATGAATAATACAATTTAAAAAAAAAATCCCCAACACAGACACACACACAAAACACTCTCTAAAGCCGCATGTGTATAAAAAAAAAGTTAATGAACGCGAAATGTTTGATGGAGAGAGAACTGCTTTTAGGGGGCAAAACGAACATCTGATTCAAAGCATATGATAACCGAAAAGGCAGAAGAGTGAGAACCCAGAAGAGATGCCAAGTATAAGTACAAAATATTATATATATTTACTACATCCACAGAGTCACCTAAAACTCGTGTGATATTTACTCTAATCAGCTGGATTTCTTCATTAAAAGAGCACAGCTATACGCTCTACGGAAAAATATTGCAGCTGGAGCGAGTGCTACAATACAAATAATTCTCGGAGGAGTTTTACTCAATGAATTTCACTTTTCACGCTCAGTTTACAAGTGTCTGATATTTCCTTTTTATATGTAATACATGGCATCAATTTTCTCAGACAGTAGCCACAATTTTGAGCCGAGTGTCAATATGGCTTTTAAGCACGGACCGTGTGCATTGCACGTGGACAGCAGCATTTGGGAGGAATACCTTGTCCGGCGAATGGGTCAAAGTACAAATCTCCAGCCACAGGCGTGACCAGTTACCACTTTGAGCGTTTACTTAATTTGTGATTTAGGAGGGTGCGGAAAGGAAAATGAAAATTAATTAAAATCAAAATAAATTTTCAGCGTTGTTATAAACACATGTGCTGCCGCCCAAAACAATTTCAACACACGATGAAATAATGCAATAACAATCATCATATGTAGCAATTATAAAAGAAAGCAAATAGAAATAGTACAACAACAACAAAAACAAAATAAATTGTTAGCGTGGCTCTTGCTATCAACAATTTCTGGAAGAGAGATAGAGAGTGGAAGAGTCGAAGGAGAGCGCGCGAGAGAGCACACAAAATGTTAACCAAAACTCAAGGTCAAAACTGTTTATTTTTTATATTTTGTTTTGAATGTATAATTTATCGCAGAGTTGCTTTTGTTTTCCACTCAGATGCACACACATACAGCAACAAGCCAAAGAGCCACACATGCACTCGTAAAGTTGTAAACAAAAACCAGACGCTTGTAAAAAGCTTTTGCGCCCCCCTCTCTTTGCTTATCACCAACGCTCTCTGCGCTCTCGCGTGCTCACATAGAGTAACATATGTTTTCCGTCTATTTGCTTTTGTCGCCATCTTCGTAGAATCTACTTATCTATATATATATATATATATATACAAACATATGTATGTATATGCATGTGTACATTTGTGTAGGGTATATAGGGAGAGTAAGCTTTTTTTTGTGTGTAGCTTTGCTTGACTCTGGCGAGTTTTGTCTGTGGTTGTTACAACAACAACAACAAAAGTGTCGGCTAAGCTTTTACATTTCGCCAGAATTTATACTAGATGTCGGGATGGATGTGGATGTGTGTTAACGTGTGTGTGTGTGGGGATTTCATGCTTGGGATTGTTGATTGCTGTACGGTACGGATACGGAGTGTAGAGCGTTCTTAGGGCATATTTGCACGATTGTAAAACACAAGGGGCTATGGAAATAAAGATGAGGATGAGGAAATGTGAACAGAACAGTAGAACTATGACTGTACTCTAAAGATCTGTGATCACATTTCTGTTCCGGATATGTATCGATAATTACTTACAGTATATAAAATTTCAATTATATATTAATATGCCCATGAATTTAGAGATTCCCGAAACCGATTTCGATGTGAATTTTCTCCTTTAATTGTGTATTCTCCACTCCATTCTTTTCTATCGCTAACAGTTTTATTGTCACATTTGAAAAGCTACGATTTATGATCACATTTCTGTTCTAGAACTGTATCGATATTACTATTCAACGCTGAATCATATTCTTCGTTCTACATTCTACTCTGCCACCCCTTTTTCTTGGGCTTACGCTTGCATATTGATAACAATATTATGCAGCTCAGGCGAAAATTCAATTCAAAACAAAAACCAAAAAAAAGTTCACAAATTAAAATAAAATACAAAAAATACACTCAGGCAGAAGGCGGCAACTTCCGTTCCGCATTATCAATGGGTCAGTGGCAGTGGTCAATGCCTGGCGATGATGATGATGATGGTGGGGGATGGATAGGGCGGTGGGGGGCAGCTGCTCTACGCATAGGTGCTCGACTCTATCATTTCCATCTGCCGCCACATGCCCACCTCTCTCTCTCTTACTGTCCGTTTTGTTTTGTTTTATTGTCAACATTCGTCATCGCCGTCACATGTTCGGACTGCATTCTCTCCCTCTCCCTCTCCATCTGTCTCTCTTTCTGCTGCTTTGTTGGTCTTTGGCCATTTCTTTGTTCTTGCACATTTTGTGCAAGTCACCTCTACACCTTTACTCTTTACGCTTTGTGTCGCGCTCTTTGCTCTAATTTTAGTCACACCCCCCACACGCAACTTTTGCATGCAACACCCACACACGCACACACACACACACACACACACGCACACTCATACAAATTTATAGACAAATTTATGTTGAGGTAGCCCCAGAGCTGAGCAGAGCCAAGTGCAAGTTCCTTCGATTTATTTTTAGTGTGCAAAAAATAGACAGAAAACAAAATGTTATGGCAGCATGCAAGCCAGAGAGCAGAAGGTACACACGTGTTGGGTATTCAATTTGATTCGATTCGATTCGTATAGTTTTATTTACATTTTTTATATATTGAGGAATGTTTTAGCATAGCATGGGCAAATGTCTGGGCAATTGATGATATAACACGCTCTGTCGCGTTCGGTTTTTGTTTTGCTTTACTGTCTTAATACTTATTATACAAACAGCTGACGCAAATTGTAAATTGTTGTTTTCGATGGAGGAAGGAAGACACCGAGACACCGAAGAGAGACAGAGAAATGATTGGCTAATTCAGGGAAGTAGAATATATATATCGGAACTTTGATGTAAGAACTTTTATCTGTCTATAAGGATTATTTTTAAGATTTTCATTGCAAGGCGACCAAACTTTGGGAAAAGAATTTATTTAGCGAGTGTCCCTCGTTTTAAATTTATTCTAACTAAACCTTCAAGATTTTAATAGAAAAAAGATCTAAATCCAGTCAAACTTTTTGTGAATTTCAAGAGAGATCCATTCCAAATTAGTAGCTTATATCTAGGGTGGAAGAGGATATTTTTAAGCGTGTGAGTCTCCTTGGCAGAGAGTTAGATCGTTTCCTTTACGGCCAAGCCACACTGGGAGAGAAAGAGTAACAGCGCGCGAGACTGAGACCATAATTTATAATAATAAATGCTTCACAGCAGCATTCACAATAGAGTGACCCAAACCACAATCAATCGATAAAGTACAAGATGTTTGCTTCCCCACTGATTCGCTAATAGATAAATAATTAATATCAATTTATATCGATTTAGCAACATATTTGTACAGCACACAAAGGGAAATTAGCACAAGTCGGCTGAAAAGTTAAGCAAATACTTGTACAATCAATCGTATGTACATATGAGAATGTATGGGAGGATCTCCCTTTCTCTCTCTCTCTCTCTCTCACCGCCGTCGCTGTATTTTCTGAATAGAAATCGTGACTTTAAAGACGCGCAGACAGTTCGACAAATAAAAATGCAATTGAAAAAGGGGATCAGAGCGTCTGAAGCTGATTCTCTCGGTGTGGAGGAGGAGGCGTGAGGCGGCATGGAGGAACACGTGAGCCGCCCAGACTTGCGATTCTCTCGCCTACTCTTATCGACCCAGCGGCTCACTCCCTCTCTAGAGGCGTCTGGTTTGTCAGCTGTCCTGGTCGTCGTCGTCCCGCCCGCCCTCTTATCAGCTAATAGCCGCGTGCCGGACGAACAACGACAATGAGAATTGATAAGTAATACGCTCAATGGGTCAGAGGCACTTTGCAAATTTTTGTTTCGTTCCACAAAACATTTGTCGGAATGGGAATGGGAGCGGGAGCTGCGGGAAACTTATCTTATCGCTTGGCACTGAGACAAAATTTGAAGATAAACCAAAGCAAAAAGATGGAAAACCTATGTATGTTTATATCGGCCTGTTGATAAAATTCGCAAAAATGAAAACAATACGTTTCGGCTTCAGGAAGTGTTCCCGCCCCCCCATTGACAATAGTTTATCAGCGTAACGAAAATAGAATTTAAATTGGTTCCAGGAATTGACCCAAAAATAAGGGCTTTGCCCACAAAACGTATCCATAGCTGTGTGAGTGTCCACAAAATTCTTGGGGGTAAACAAATAAAACAAAATCTCATATGAGTCACAGAGGCAGCAAAAGACAGGCAGGCAGGCAGCACTCAGTGGCAAAAAAAAAAAAATTATATAGATATTGTAGTATATTTGTAGATATATAAATATTTTTTGTTGAAGAAATTTCAAAGAAAAGCAAACAAGTTTGCTTAATGGCTGCATCCGCAGAACAGAACAGAGCACAGCCTCTGGAAAGATCACAAAAAAAAAAACAAAAACCTCCGGCTCCCAGCAGCGGCGGCAACAAAGAAAGTTGAAGGCCATCAAAAGTAAATGACCGTATATAGAATATATAACAAAATAATATAAAATATACAGAAATACAGAACATTTCATTTGAGTTTAACCAATCGATTGGAAATGCTTTTAAAGGGAATCTCATTTGCTTAATGGTGAAATAATCTCAGCTTGAAAAATCATCTCTGGAATCGGAAATAGTATAAATAATATACTGATACGATTGACAAAGCGATTAGATATACCGCTCTGTGGGAATGATAATACATACATACATTCTAGAACCTGTTATGATAAGGAACTATGTCTGTATTTTCTGAATAGAAAATCTATATGCATGTATTCAAGAGATATTAATTCTGCTACTGATTGATAGAGAAGTTCAATCGAATTAATTATCAATTTATACAGAGTTTCAGGATACAGAATGGCAAGCATTTAAAGTACTATTCTACAAAATGTTTACACCATTGTAAATACTTAACCAAGTTAATTTTATTCGCTGATTCTCTGAATCTTGGATAGGGTTCTTCATGAAGCATGTCTCTATCTGATGCCTTCCCAAAACTTGAGCTTTTTTCTTCAATCAACATCCTAATCAGACGGTCACTCTCTTCCCTGTCAGCAGTGCCCTAATTTATATTTTTGTGTATTTGCTTCTGTGGCGAATTATGGGGCCTCCAACCATTCTTATCGTGCGCTCAACTGTTGAGTCATTGAGGGAGCTAAAATCATACAAACAAACAGAAATAATCCCAAAATTTCAGCATCCCAGAAACTCCACTCGACGACTGCTTTCCAGAGCTGAAAGTTTACCCTCTCCACATGCCTTGTATACGTAATATTGTGGCGCTTAGGAAACAAAAGGGGCAATGGGGGGGCCGGCCTGTGCCACGGCTGCGGTTCGATTCAAAACTGGCTGTAGATGGGAGGGGTATAATGGGTATTTGCTCAACATATGTATATGGGCAGGTTTTAGGCTGGTTTTTTGTCTTTTCTCACATTTTGTTGTCTTTTCATTTTAGTATTCGCTTAGACACAGTCAACATTAACAGTTTTTAACCTTGAATTTTCGCACTGACACTGAACCCAAACAAGCAAAACCAAAAACCCAAATCGAGGCAACAAAATTCAAATTGAAATCAATTATATTTTAATTTATTTGTATTTTTTTTGTGGCCCATACACCAGTGAGGAAAATTTGCTGATTTTCTTTTGTTCCCTCTGTGTGCTGATTATTTTCTAAAATGGCAGGCAAAGAATAGATGGTTGGGCTGTGGAGAACCTTCTTCAAATTTCGTTGAAATTTAAAGCTTGCTAGATACCCAAAAAAAAAAAAATTATTATTATTGGTGTGCTTCAGCCTGAGCTCTGGCTTAATGGCCTCTTGAACGAACAGTGTGGTGTGTTGTGTGTGTGTGTTCCCGATACATAAATAAAACTTGAGAATGTTTAAAGTTTATAGGCGGACTTATGTGCTATGTGCTATGCTTTGCTTTATATTTTTGTTGTTGTTTTGCTTCAGATCGGTTTTTAGGTTTTGTTTGGTCTCGCATTACAATGGTTGGCGTTGGGGGAAGTAGGGGGAGAGATCTTAGACTCTGGTTTTTTGTGTCAGTTTTCGTTTACTGTTTCGAATGAATGTTTTAATTGGTTCGGCGGGATCGTAAATTACAAAATGTGTCAGCTTAGAAAAGTATATGGCGTGCAGTGGGGGAGGTAGGAATCGAAAACTTGTAATAAATACTCCTCAAGAAAGTCATGACTTATCTGGGGTTTATGTTGTATACTTTTAATGGGACACACCACAAAAGTATTTGTAGAACACGAGGCTAAAGCTCAACTTATGATCATTGATCATAATAATACTACCAAATATATGGAATCGGTTTGGATCTTCCTCGCTGTCTCTCACTCTTCTGCCTCTGCCTGCCCCCACCGCTGCTATCAGAAAACCAGATCTTTTTGATAGCCCATCATTTTTTTTAATGTTTGGTTTAAATTTTGTAAATTTTCGTTGTGGATTTATTTTTTTGAATTATTCGGATCGTTCGTTTAATCTTTAAACATTTTTCCTATCATACATATAGATATTCATAGGTATAAACACGATTTTTAAATTTTACCAACCTTATATATATATCTTCTTGATTTTTGGCACCTCGTTGGTTTATAAACAAGACCGAAAAAAAATGTATTTGTTGTTGGATTTGTTGTAAATATCGTTTATATTACTTCCTTGATGTTTGTAAATTAATTGAAATTGTATTTCTGTTTAATTGTTCACTCGCTTTAATACAACAATTAATTATTATGCATGGGCATGCGTAAATTAAGGAGGGGGAGGGCCTCGCTTATATGTAAATTTCATTGTTGCTTGTGTATTTTTCAGTTTTATTTTGTTTCTTTTTTCATTAAACTGGGTCACACATGTGGCTGAGATTAAGACAGAAATTTATTTATAATGAAGCACATTAGCACGACGACGACTGCACATACTATGTATAATCAAAACACACAGAACTTAGGCGCACACTTTAGTATGAATTTTGATAAGTAAATCTTATCAGCTCGTCGCCAGTCAGTCACTTAATTTATTTTCGTGATATTATTTGTATTTGTATTATGTGTATATGTTTTCCGCGTTGTCACTTTTGGTTTTTTGTTTGTTTTGGAATTACTGGCAAAAATTTACAACAATTTTCATAATATTTTCGTTTGTTCTTCGCGACTTGTTGTCAATTTTGCTGGCTCCGACTGACTTCACCAGCTGTGTGATCTGATGTGATTGAGGGGGAAGAAAGACCGGACCGATTGATGATCGCCAGAGAGCAAGAACGCGAGAGCTTTGCGCCTCGTTCGTGTGTTGTTCGGCGACTTTCGGGTTGTTTGGAGTCGTCGTGTGTGTGGGGTAGCAGTCGGCGGCTGCTATACTTATACATATATGTATACCCACACATGTATGTAAATATATATATGTGTATATACGTGTATCTATGTACGTTTTGTGGACAAATTCCAACGCATTCATCAAGTTTGGCAGCGTTTATGTTTGTTGGTTTATTTATTTATGCAAATTAGGGGGCTTTTATATCGACTTTTGCCTCGGTAAAAAAAACTAGTTCGAACTTTTGTGTTTAATTTAATGCTGCTCACTCTACAATATGTGCAGATTGCGCGCGCGTTTTTTAAATTACTTGTTAATTGAATTATGGACCAGCAAACTATTTACATTTATTAACTTTTTGTTTGCTTTGTACAATTTTAATTGTTTTCGTTCTTCACACTCTTCCCTCTGTGCGAGTGTGAGTTTTGTTTTGTGGAATAACAGCAGCACGCGTTTAACAATATAAATTGTTCTTTTTGTGCACTGTTGCTTTTTGTTCCCCTATTCTTGTTTTTGTGTGGTTCTGCGCTCGCCTCGTCAAACGTTCTGTTCTTGACCGATAGATAAAAAATACACAAAGCTCCGCGACAAAACTAAAAGCCAGAGCGCGAAAAGCTTGCCGCTTGGCTTTTGTTTTGATTGTGTCCACACAGAGAGCAAGGGAGCGAGAGAGAGAGAGAAGGAGAGAGAGTGGAGCTTTGAGTGCGCATGACACACACACACACACACTCGCATAGCCAGCGTTGTCTGTTGCTTCTTTCACTTCCACTTTTCCATTCGACTGCCCATACGAAGCAAGGGCGGGGGCGGCGGCGGGTAAGTTAGAACCACAAAAAAAAGCTCCGAGTACAGTCTGTATTTTTGTTGTTGCTTTCGGTTTTATTATTCTCATCTGTTTTGTGCATTTGATTCTTGTGTGAAGTTCGCTCTCTATTTTATTCTCTCTCTCTCTCGGTCTTTTGACGTCACCTTTGTTGTTTACTTCGGCTTGTTTTCCTTTTGATGCTCATTATACTCGGTATTCGTGGGGTACAAAGGTATAAGGTATTAGGAAAGAATGTACAAAACAGCCAACCCATAAGGAATAAATCTTTGAATAGATCGATCTCGATCGACTATATCTAATATTTCCTAACCATTACAGTACCTTGCAGGCAGAATGAGTAAAATATGCTACAGATACCTGGGGGGTATCCGCATTGTCGACTATCCCCCGTTCTATATAGTTTTCTTTGTTATTTTCTGTTTTTGTTTTATGCAAATTTGTGTTATGAAATTGTCTGGCGCTTTGATTTTGATTCCTTTTTTTTTTCGCAACAGTAAAAATAAAACTTGTTTACAGCATTGGAATGAGTACAACAATAATATATCTATGTATCTGGTATACAAAATGCACATAGTATTTATAGGAAAGAAAAGCGCAAGATAGAGCAGATTCTAGCGAAAAAGCGAACGTTTTTAGACGCTGACGTTGCACTTTTTTCCCCCTCTCTCTCTCTCTCTGAATTCTTTATTTTATTAGTTTGTTTATAAACAAAAAATGCTCAACAATCAACAAGAAACGATGACAGAAACAAGAACTTGCTCCCAACAATATTAATTCCTTTTATCGGTTTGATTTCTCCTACACTCAGACATTCGTATTCGTATTTGTTTTTGTATATTATGCTTATTCTGCCTTCCTCTTTTGCTCTTTATTATTTATTCTAGTTTTTTTAATTTAATTTTTTGGAGGGAGGAGGAGGCAAATCGGCTGATGCAATCCGTCATATTTGGAGTGTAATCCAAAACTGCAAAGTGCTTGACTTGCACTAAATGAGTAATGGGGGAAACCCGACCAAGACCCTTTGGGCATGGATATGGATCCAAGCACCACAATCGGTAATATGTAAATATATATCAGAAATATGTTATCTCTATCTGCTTCCAGATTTTTGTTTTATTTATTTAATTTTTGTTTTATAAACCCTCGGCTGCTAAGTTTCTGAGCGTTAAGGAGGCAGGAAATGAAGTTTTCTTCATACTGGCCATTATCATGATCCGATCGCAAACAGATAATATAATTCTATCGATTATAATCTAAAATAGTTCATTTAAAAAAAGAAAAATGTTTAATCCTGTATCGGAACTTATAAACAACACAAAATCCCCTCCAAAAATCGCCCAAATAAAGTCAGCAACATCGCTTTTCCATGAAATTAAGTTATTCCCACAAATAATGAACAGGAATCATGTATATGGCATGCTGACAGGAGTGTGGGAGTAGGGGATAACACCAATCCAATCTAGGGGGGAAAGTAACCAACTGACGCACGGAATTTCTTTTTTTATATATTTCCCCCCAGTTGTCCCGGAAAATCACAACAATGTCCTTGAATGTGAAATGGCGACATAAGCAATACACACACACCCACAACCAGTAGCAGCAGAAGCAAAAGGCCACGTCCATGGTATTTTCAGGGATATATAGGGAGCCAACAAGGATAACAGTCAAATCCCACGCACAACCCACTCAAAAACAGCCACGACAACCAAACAGCACAACATGCATATAATATGTACATATGTATGTATGTAAGGGGGGGAAATGTGTTAAATGATTGTCAAGGACGTGGGCGGCTGGTAGCTTCGTTATTTACAAAATATTCCCAATATGCCCGACAGCGTCCGCGTGGGAGTGTACATATCATACACTGAAGGAAATACAAATGCCATAAGATCTAAATGATGAAATAGTAGTGCACGCAACATCCAAATTGTTCAATCAGGTGTGGAATAAAACAGGTACACATGTGAAGGATATGTACAAAATATTTTTCAGTGCACAATACATACACATATGTACACATCCATAGGGGCTATGTGGGCGGCTCGGGTTCGGGTTTCATAGGGCTTGGCCCTGAATCGCGCTGCTCTCTTATCATCTCATCCCCCACCCACCATACCTATCGACGCACTTTCACTTTCTCTTTGGGGGGAAGTTCAAGGCAGTGCAAAGCTTCTCGAAGACCTTGAATAACGGCTGTTGTTGCGCTGCCTATTTGTGGGCGTTGTCCTTTGCGGTGGTCCTCTGGGCGTTGCTTCTAGGCCGTTTACTTCATGCAAAGGCGCGTCGCTTTTTTGTTCTGTTTGTTCTTTCGTAATTTGATTGCGTGGTAAAGCATAAATATCTATTAATTAATTAATTAATTAATATGGGGGAACCCAGCCGCTTTCTTTTTAATCACAACCATCTGGCAACCCAATCAAAGCTCCCGTAAGCTTTTCTCGGTAAGCCTTTTCTCTGAGCTTGCTCGTGATGTTGCGTATTTGGTTCACTCTCGATGGTTGATTTTTTATTCGCATTTTGTTTTTGTTATGAATGTGCAGAAGCATAACAAAATGCCAATCCATAGCAGACTCTCAAGGACAATCGCTTGGTGGGTGGTGGTGGGCGTAGGGAGCACCCAGAGAGAGAGAGAGAGAGAGAGATAGAGGGAGACAGATAGGGAGTGTAAGGATCCATCGTTTGCTTTTGGATACATCCTTCTTAACGTAAATTCTGCGTCGTAATTTTCCATCATGGCGCTCTCTCTCTCTATATATTCAGAACCTTTGGGGGCGGTTTTGCGTGGGGGCAACCGGCGAATGTGTACACAAAGCTCGTTAGTCTATATACTGATGCCGCAGCAGTCCTTCCAAGTCCCTCTCATCCTCTCTCTCTCTCTTGCCCTCTTTATAGACGTTGTTGTGACGCGTATCGATTTGTTTATGTTTATCATAAGGAAATTGGCACAAGAGGCCCCCCAGACGTGGTCCAAGAGGTACCTAAGAGGGGAGCGGCTAGGGTCTGGATTTAAACAATAGACATTTTTACACTATCGCTCTCGCTCAGGCGCAAGAGTTCTTTCAGCTTTTATGTTGTTTTGTTTTGTGGAATTGGGTAAAGCACCACCCTTAAGTTTTCCCCCCATCATAATTCGTAGAATTTGGATTCTATCAGGTAATACGAAGCCGGCTATCTGGGCAGGGATGTAAGGGTTTTTTTTTTCTCAGTAAGTAGTTCCCAGTATTTTGAGTTGATATTAGAACCATGGGAATTTTAAGAATATACTAGTCGACTTTAAGTTTAAAATTTTTCAAAGTAAATTTAAAAGAAAAACAATACTGTCAAAAAAATATGAAACCTACGAACTTTAGAAACTTAATTTTATATGTTAAGGAATCTCTTGATCAGCTTTAAATTAAAATTGTTCAAAACTAAATTTTACAAAGGAAATTCTGTGAGGGGAAAAGAATTGTGGAACTTTGTGGGTTATGCGGTAGCACCTCTCGGTCGACTTGCATTTCTCCATCGTCTTGCTGTCGCTTAGGCACGGTTATCCACATTAAAAAGGCACCTCCCTATAGCACAGTAAAACCTGGCAAATTGTTCGAAATCTTAAATTTCAGTCCCGAAATAAATCGATTTCCAATTTTAAAACCCAACATCTCTCATATCTCAAAATATCGTCTTATAGGGGCCATTACGCTTGGAGAACACTTAAGAAACGTTAAATGTACATAGTATTTTTGTCGTGCTAGATTAAAAATAGACAATATATTTGGCTCGTCACAATACGAAAATACGAAAATATTATTGAATATTCTCCATCAAAAACAAGGCGGAAGAATTTTTTCAAGTCACATGTGGCTCACAAAAAGATACCCGCTATTCTGTTTCTATATATTATTGATATGTATTTCAGTAGCTTAAAAAGCTAAGCCAAGGTGTGAATAAAGTATCACTGTTATATAGTGGATATATGTAGTTCATACGCTTGCTTCTGGCTATTAACATAAATTCACACGAATTTAATATACTCCTACCCTTTACTCTGTGAGCAGCGATGAGCCATTTCCCTTAACATTCAAAAACACTCCAAAATGTGGGAATGCTCACATGCACTTTGCATGTGATAGGAAAAACAACAAAAACATTTTACAATTTTGCTAGCTCATATAAACAATTTTTTCTTGATTTTCTTATTTTGATTTTCCCCCTTCTCGCACTTTTTGC